ACTATTAATATTAAATATTTATGTATATGTACATATGGAATAGGTGGTATGTTACTAAATGCTGTAAAGAGTTTCTATGAGGATAGTGAGGCTCAGGTTAGGGTGTGTAGAAGAGAGGGAGACTTCTTCCCAGTAAAAGTAGGTCTTAGACAGGGATGTGTAATGTCACCATGCTTGTTTAATATATTTATAGATGGGGTTGTAAAAGAAGTAAATGCTAGGGTGTTCGGGCGAGGGGTGGGATTAAATTATGGGGAATCAAATACAAAATGGGAATTGACACAGTTGCTTTCTGCTGATGATACTGTGCTTATGGGAGATTCTAAAGAAAAATTGCAAAGGTTAATGGACGAGTTTGGGAGTGTGTGTAAAGGTAGAAAGTTGAAAGTGAACATAGAAAAGAGTAAGGTGATAAGGGTATCAAATAATTTAGATAAACAAAAATTGGATATCAAATTGGGGAGGAGGAGTATGGAAGAAGTGAATGTTTTCAGATACTTGGGAGTTGACATGTTGGCAGATGGATTTATGAAGGATGAGGTTAATCATAGAATTGATGAGGGAAAAAAGGTGAGTGGTGCATTGAGGTATATGTGGAGACAAAAAATGTTATCTATTGAGGCAAAGAAGGGAATGTATGAAAGTACAGTATAGTAGTACCAACACTCTTATATGGGTGTGAAGCTTGGGTTGTGAATGCAGCAGCGAGGAGGCAGTTGGAGGCAGTGGAAGTGTCCTGTCTAAGGGCAATGTGTGGTGTAAATATTATGTAGAAAATTCGGAGTGTGGAAATTAGGAGAAGGTGTGGAGTTAATAAAAGTATTAGTCAGAGGGCTGAAGAGGGGTTGTTGAGGTGGTTTGGTCATTTAGAGATAATGAATCAAAGTAGAATGACATGGAGAGCATTTAAATCTGTAGGGGAAGAAAGGAGGGGTAGGGGTCGTCCTCGTAAAGGTTGGAAGGAAGGGGTAAGGGAGGTTTTGTGGGCGAGGGGCTTGGACTTCCAGCAGGCATGCGTGAGCGTGTTCAATAGGAGTGAATGGAGATGAATGGTATTTGGGACTTGACAATCTGTTGGAGTGTGAGCAGGGTAATATTTAGTGAAGGGATTCAGGGAAACCAGTTATTTTTATAGACGGACTTGAGTCCTGGAAATTGGAAGTACAGTGCCTGCACTCTAAAGGAGGGGTTCAGGATATTGGCAGTTTGAGGAGATATGTGTATCTTTACACGTATATGCTTCTAAACTGTTGTGTTCTGAGCACCTCTGGAAAACAGTGATTGTGTGAGTGAGGTGAAAGTGTTGAATGATGATGAAAGTATTTTCTTTTTGGGGATTTTTTGTCTTTTTGGGTCATCCTGCCTCGGTGGGAGATGGCCGCCTTGTTAACCCGTAAACGGTCCAAGCAGATCTACGTTCACATGTGTAGTGCTACAAAAGTAGATCTACGTTTTTTTAACATATTTTCAAATATAACAAAAAAAAAAATAGATCAAAGTTTTTTTACACATTTTCAAATGTAAAAAAAACAAAAAGAAAATCTACTTTTTTTACATGCTTTCAAATGTTGAAAAAACGTATATATACGTTTGGACCGTTTACGGGTTAAAAAAAAAAATTATGATTTTTAAATGCTATGGTTTACTATATGTCCTTTCACAGTTGAATGCTTTCAGTGATATGAAAGAATAAATTCAACCCCCCCCCCCCCCAAAAAAAAAAAAAAAAAAAATTTGTAGACTCTGAACACTGCTTTTTTTTTAAGTAAAAATCTCTACAAGAATTGTTCACCATGTATTGCTCATTGGGGTTCTCACACACTTCTAAAACTTGTTAAATAAAAAGCTGACAAACATTCAGAAACCCCTCAGGTTGGGAGGACAGTCTAATTGATATGGAAGCTGGCACAGGAGTTTAGGAATTTGCCTGAGCTAAACACTACGAGCATGACAGAACTTGAGATGTTGACATTTATCCAGTGATCTGTTCCAATCTCTGGATCACCCTCAGGGTTGCTGTCATCCTTTCAGTGGCATTGGCTAGACTTACCTGCATTTCACCATGATGTAAGACCACCTCAGTGGTCTTGCTGTCATCATCATTAACCATGTGGTATCAAGGCAGACTTCTGATAATCGCATCATTGATGATTCTGCATCAAGGAAGACTGGGAGGATCAGGTTTTCAAAGAAAACTTATTATTATCAAGGGGAGTGCTAAACTCAGGGATTATACAGCACCTGTGGGGTAAGGGGAGGATGAAAGGCATTTAGGTTAGGAGCACAGATCCAATTCCAAAGATCAACAGCCCCTCACCAGCATTAACGAACGGTGGAAATAAATGGTATAAAATACCGACACAATGGAAATATAAACACATACGCAGTATAATGTGATCCTTTATTGACAAATTTTCGCCCACACAGTGGGCTTTGTGACTTGAAAAAGCCCTCTGTGTGGGCGAAACGTTGTCAATAAAGGATCACATTATACTGCATATGTGTTTATATTTCCAGCATTAAGGAACCTTGAGAGGTCGAAGGAAAACTACAAGACCTAAAACTTCCAAACCAACTGTGAAATTCACTTATTTGCTAACTGGCAATTTTATTCCTTTACGAAGCTACATTGTGTGCACTTTTTAAATTCATTTATTGCTATTGCTCTATTTTGTGCAATATATTTTGGACTCTTTATTGAGTGTATTTATTTATACTTTTTGTTTCAAGACAACTTGTTCTTGCCTCAAACTCAGAACAGTATATGAAAGAAGTGCTTTTATGTTTTAAATACAGAGTGTTTTATTGCTGCAGAAGTCATGCACCTAAGGGAGAAGGTTATCCTGTTGATGGAGGGGGAACATACACACCTGTTGATGGAGGGGGGTGTCCTGTTGGAGGGGGTGTCCTGTTGATGGAGGGGATGTCCTGTTGATGGAGGGGGTGTCCTGTTGATGGAGAGGGTGTCCTGTTGATGGAAGGGATGTCCTGTTGATGGAGGGGAGTGTCCTGTTGATGAAGGAGGTGTCCTATTGATGGAAGGGGAGTGTCTTATTGATGGAGGGGGATTGTCCTGTTGATGGAAGGGGTGTCCTGTTGATGGAGGGGGTGTCTTGTTGATGGAGAGGATGTCCTGTTGACTGAGGGCACCAACAGTACCAGGACCACCACTGCTTATATGATCTTGCTGAAAGCATCAACAGTGCCAGGGCTATCACTACTCGTACAACCTCGCCGAGGGCACTAAAAATGTCAGGACTACCACTGTTCATAAGAGTTATCCACTGCCTGATAAATGGGAAGCAATCAGACTTGAACCAAGGCATGAAAAGGTAGCTCTAATTCCTCAGATCAGGAGCCCTCCACCAACATCAAGGATATATCACAATAGGATCAAAAGAACAGGCTGCATCATATACAGTGGACCCCCGCATACCGTTGGCCTTACATAACGTTAAATCCGCATACCGCTACATTTTATCGCCAAGATTTTGCCTCGCATACCGCTAAAAAACCCGCTCAACGCTGTTCGTCTGAGACGCGTCTATGTGCGGCCTGAGCCACGCTCACATGTTCTGCCGGTGGCATTGTTTACCAGCCAGCCTCCGCGGTAACATCCAAGCATACAATCGGAATATTTTGTATTATTACAGTGTTTTTGGTGATTTTATCTGCAAAATAAGTGACCATGGGCCCCAAGAAAGCTTCTAGTGCCAACCCTACAGCAATAAGGGTGAGAATTACTATAGAGATGAAGAAAAAGATCATTGATAAGTATGAAAGTGGAGTGCGTGTCTCCGAGCTGGCCAGGTTGTATAATAAATCCCAATCAACCATCGCTACTATTGGTGGTACAGCTGCTGCTGCTGCTGTACCACCGTCAGCTGCTGCTGCTGTAGCACTGTCAGCTGCTGCTGCTGTTGTACCACCATCAGCTGCTGCTGCTGCTGCTGTAGTACCATCTGCTGCTGCTGTAGTACCGTCTGCTGCTGCTGTAGCATCATCTGCTGCTGCTGTAACACTGTCAGCTGCTGCTGCTGTAGCACTGTTGTTGGTGTGGCTTATTGAGAATACCAAGAAACAATTAACCCCAGAGGATTTGCCACCCAGGATAACCCAAAAAAGTCAGTGTCATCGAAGACTGTCTAACTCTAACTTATTTCCATTGGGGTCCTTAATCTTGTCTCCCAGGATGCAACCCACACCAGTCGACTAACACCCAGGTGAACAGGGAAAAATGCCTGGAACTAGTGCTCATATTGGTGAATTTAAAGCCAGCAAAGGTTGTTTGAGAGATTTAAGAATCGTAGTGGCATACACAGTGTGATAAGGCCTGTTCTGGAAGAAAATGCCAAACAGGACCTACAGTACTCAGGAGGAAAAGGCACTCCCAGGACACAGTGTCTCATCAGTCATTGCTGCATCTTCAATAAAGGTAAGTGTCATTTATTCTTCATTTAGTAGTGTAGTACATGCACAATATATATTGTGCATGTACTACTCTACTATTGTGCATGTATCCTTCTCTTTGTGTGTAGGAAAATGTATATTTCATGTGGTAAAATTTTTTTTCATACTTTTGGGCGTCTTGCACGGATTAATTTGATTTCCATTATTTCTTATGGGGAAAATTCATTCGCATAACGATAATTTCGCATAACAATGAGCTCTCTTGCACGGATTAATATCGCTATGCGGGGGTCCACTGTATACAAACAGAACTGCAAGCATCTATTATAATTTTTTTATGATTGCTTCCAGTGAGGTCTGTCCTCTCTGTACACAGATAGCTGACTTATTAAATTCATGGGTAAGCACTAAATCCATATTATGTTTATAGAGGTTATACAGCTCATGGAGTAATGGAAGGCAATCAAACTAGATTCAAGTAGAGGGAGAATAGGTCAAATTCTTTGGATCAAGAGCCCTTTACCAGAATCAAGGCACCTACTTTGACACACTAATATGTTTAATCTCTTAAAGGATAATATTCTTGAATAATTAAAGTATTATATTTTCAGTTAATTTATTCTGGTTCTGTTTTGTACAGTATTTACACATCTACATCATATAAGTATAGCCTGAATTTCAAATGAAAGTTTGAAATATCAGGAATATCACTGATATTGTAGAAACTTGGTTACCAGTGTATTGAATAAGGTATTCTGTGTGTATCACTAGTATAATATATGTACCTACAAATATATTAAAAAGACTATGAAATTCATGGCATTTTATTAAGATGTTTCATCCACTAGGGACTACAAAGTCTTTGGTGGATGAAAATTCTTCTTGAGAAAATCCCAGAAATTGCATAATGTCTTATTAACAAGGTATTGTGTGTACATGTTCCATGGACCACTCTTTAAATACTGATCTATTGGTAACTTATTACACCAGTAAATATGTACCATAAATCCCTTTTTTGCTAATTTTTTCTTCTGCTGACTTTCTCTGGAACACCTGCATATCTTTGTTGTCTACACTGCCAGACATGCTGACCTTGAACTTCAGCTTGTCCTGATTTGCAATTTAATACTGAACAATCTCACTGTAATATGGAGATATACCTTTGATGATTTCTGAGAGTTTTTCAATTCCCACAGCCCGGCTATAGGCCAAATTTGTCTTGTGTTCGTCTGGTCGACAAGGCTGTTGCTCCTGGTAGTCTGCCAACCCACAGATGTATCACAGCCTGGTTATCTGGAACATTATTTGAATTTGTGGTCTTTCAGAGCTTTGCCCAAGGCCTGTAATAAGATATCCTCTACTAGAATTTACATGAGCCTTTCAAGCAATTCAGTTTTAGAAAATTACCTAAAACACAAGTTGAGGATTTTTTTTGTCTCAGTACCACCTCCCTTAGAAGTTTACACTGCATTCTTAGGGTCTTCAGTTGCCTCTTCCATAATGTTAGATACTGGTAGTATGATACCAAGAGTGGTTCATGACCCAGAATACAGACTGCAACATTTTAAAGTATGAAAATGTACTTTTTTGTGGCAGTTTTCATAAACCAAGGTATTTGCCACATTCAAATATCAGCTGTTATTTATCTGGCTACAATGACTGGAATTTGGGGCTTGCACAGACGACAAGGAGGCATAGTGTGTAAAAAAGCAAACAAAAACTAATCACTGTTAGCAAAATGTGATTATAAGTGTATATACTGGTGTAATAGGTTTACTAATGGATTGTTATTCGCAAGAATTAGTTTTCCATACTTTAAAACAATATAATACAGGTACTGTAGTCTTAGCCATTATGATCAGACTGTGAAGCAGCTGCCTTGAGTTGAGGGTGCTCCTGAGCCGAGGCTTGTGGATCAGCTGCCTCGGGTTGAGGGTGCTCCTGAGCCAAGGCTTGTGGATCAGCTGCCTCGGGTTGAGGGTGCTCCTGAGCCAAGGCTTGTGGATCAGCTGCCTCGGGTTGAGGGTGCTCCTGAGCCGAGGCTTGTGGATCAGCAACTGGATGAAGAGTAAAGGTTTCCAGAGGAGTCATTTTTCCACCTTCACTCACAATGGTGTAGACACCAGACTAAAAAAGAAATAAGCAAAATGAAAACAAACCATCAAGAAATGAAAAGGAATTAATAAGCAACACTATATTAAGGGAAGGTACTTTGACAAGAAAATTTATAACCTACAAGATGGTGAATTATTATTATTATTATTATTATTATTATTATTATTATTATTATTATTATTATATTCAGAGAAAGTGTTAAACCTAAAAGGTTGTGGAGCTTCTACAAAGACCCAAAATGCTCTGCATAACTATGGGCTTTCTGCATGCACAACTAAATGTCACTCATCTCTGTACAAATATTGTATCATGCTGAAATAAATTATTATTATTATTATTATGTTTGGGTTCCTTCAGTTGTCTTAAGCTTCAAGGGCTCACATAAATAATAAGTTAAGGATTACAAGGTTTCACAAAAAGGCTAGCTTGAATGAAGCATTATGAAAGACACTAAAACCTGTTCTAATAATTTCCATGTTTAATAGCTACAGAGAGGATGGAGACACTAACTCTGCAAGGTAGATAGCCAAGTAACTTTTTCCACTCCACATACAGTGTAGGAAGACCCTGCTTTACAGAACTTCACTTTACAGTGTTTCACTAATGCAGCAGTTTTCAAATACAGTGGACCCCCGGTTAACGATATTTTTTCACTCCAGAAGTATGTTCAGGTGCCAGTACTGACCAAATTTGTTCCCATAAGAAATATTGTGAAGTAGATTAGTCCATTTCAGACCCCCAAACATACACGTACAAACGCACTTACATAAATACACTTACATAATTGGTCACATTCGGAGGTGAATCGTTATGCGGGGGTCCACTGTATACCCATTCTTCATTTATTCAAACTTCCTGCAATAAATATATTCACCACTCACTATAAGCTAAGGGCAAAAATATTTTAAGGTAAGTAATGTGTATACAATATATGCAATTTTAAGGCCTAGTGTGAACAAGTTATCAGGATTTTTATATGCATCTGAAAGTGAAATAAAGTTATGTTTCACTTTACAGTGGTAGCCCAGAACCTAACTTGCTGTACAAGTGGAGCCTGCCTGTACTTTCATCAACTTGTTTCTCATCACTTGTTTTTCACTTTCTCTGATCCTTTGGGTTCAAGATGACATCAATCAGGTCCATGTGAACAAAGGTTTAACATGAATGCTCAACAAAAAGGCCTGACAATGGCTCACCATATGGTTCAACACAAAGGCTCAAAATGACAACCCATAATAAGGAGCTCAACCATGCTATTATGATATCATACCACTGGTAGCACCTTTTACACTTGTATCTTGTTGAAACAAAACTATCACAGGCTTCATGCCAATTAAATATTCACAAAACCAATCTAGAAAATGAACTGTACCCTACTGTATAATACAGTGGACCCCCAGTTATTGGCCAGTTCTGTTATCGGCCTACTTGGTTATCGGCCGGTTTTTCGGTGCCGGTTAATGGCCGTTAATTCGGTTATTGGCCATTTGGGATGCATCCATCGCCGGCTGGGGCCGGTTGCACATCAGTTTGGTTTTGTCTCTCGGTGGCTGAGGAAGCTTCTGCTCATGCATCCAAACATTTCGCTTGTTTTCCATTGTTTTTAGTGGGGTTTTTTGCAGTGCAACTGTGAAATAAGTAACCATGGCTCCAAAGAAAGTTCCTGTGGTAAAGAAAGTGAGAAACACCATGGAATTTAAGCGTGAAGTGATAGAAAAGTTTGAAAGTGGTATGAAGGTGGTGGAACTTACCAGGATGTACAGCAAGACTAAATCAACAATTACATCCATCCTGGCAAAGAAAAAACATATCAAAGATGCTAATGTTGCAAAAGGAGTAACTTGTCTAACTAAATAAAGGCCACCAATAATGGAAGAGATGGAAAAGTTATTATTATTGTGGATTAAGGAAAAAGAATTAGTGGGAGACAGTGTTGTGGAGTCTATTGTTTGTGAGAAGGCAAGGCAGCTGCATTAGGATCTTGCAAAGAAAATGCCTGGAACACATGCTGCAGTTTGTGAATTTAGGGCCAGCAAAGGATGGTTTGATAGATTTAAGAAGCATAGTGGCATACACAGTGTTGTAAGGCATGGTGAGGCTGCAAGTTCTGACAAATGTGTGGCTAAAAAGTATGTTCACAAATTCCAGGACTTTGTAAATGCTGAAGGATTCAAACTCCAACAAGTGTTCAATTGTGACGAAACAGACCTGTTTTGGAAGAAAATGCCAAACAGGACCAACATTACCCAGGAGGAAAATGCACTGCCAGGACACAAGCCTATGAAAGACAGGCTCACTCTTTTGTTGTGTGGTAATGCTTGTGGGGATTTCAAAGTGAAGTCTTTACTCATGTATCACTCAGAAAATCCTAGAGTGTTCAAGAAAAACAATGTCATGAAGAATAGATTGTGTGATGTGGAAAGCTAATCATAAGGCATGGGTCACAAGGCAAATTTTCAGAGTGGGTTAATGATGTGTTTGGCCCAAGTGTGAAAAAATACATCCCGGAAAAGAAATTGCAACTCAAGTGCCTCCTGTTACTGGACAATGCTCCTGCACATCCTCCAGACTTGGAAGACCAAGTGTTTAGGGGCTTCAATTTTATAAAAGTGAAGTTCTTGCCTCCTAACACCACTCCTCTCCTCCAGCCCATGGACCAGCAGGTCATTTCTAACTTCAAAAAACCCTACACAAAAGCAGTGTTTCAAAAGTGCTTTGAAGTGATATCAGACACTCGGTTGACTCTATGACAGTTCTGGAGGAATCACTTCACTATCCTCCATTGCATAAGCCTTATAGGTAAGGTTTGGGAGGGAATGACTTCCAGGACTTTGAACTCTGCTTGGAGAAAACTGTGGCCAGATTGTGTCCAAGAGAGGGCTTTTGAAGGGTTTGAGGCTGACCCTGACCCTGCCGACCTTGTGGACTTGACTGTGGCACTGAGGAAGTCCCTGGGGTTGGAGGTGAGTGGCGAGGATGTGGAAGAGTTGGTGGAAGACCAAAGGAAAGAGCTAACCAATGAAGAGCTGCAAGAGCTTCATCTCAAACAGCAACAGACTGCAGCTGAAGAACTTGCTTCAGAGGAGGAGGAAGAGGGAGTGAAGGAGGTGGCTTCTTCAGAGACTAAAGAGGTGTGTGCAATGTGGACTAGGGTGCAAGCTTTTGTAGAGAAACACGACCCTGACAAAGTTGAAACAAGCCATATCTGCAACATGTTTAGTGACAAAACCCTGTGCCACTCTAGGGAAATCTTATAGATGCCAGAAACAGAGCACTCTGGACAGTTATTTTGTGAGACAGGGGTCTAGTGACTCTCAAGCTGGTCCTAGTGGCATTAAAAGACAGAGAAGGGAAGTAACCCCAGAGAAGGCTTTGCTACCTAAAGTCTTTATGGAGGGGGATTTCCCTTCCAAACACTAACTCCTCCCTCTTTCCTCCTCCTCATTTTCCAGAAGTCAGCATTAGCCTTCAAAAAGAATGCAGATGTAATATATACAGACTTTGCAAAAGCCTTCGACAAGTGTGACCATGGCGTAATAGCGCACAAAATGCGCGCTAAAGGAATAACAGGAAAAGTCGGTCGATGGATCTATAATTTCCTCACTAACAGAACACAGAGAGTAGTCGTCAACAGAGTAAAGTCCGAGGCAGCTACGGTGAAAAGCTCTGTTCCACAAGGCACAGTACTAGCTCCCATCTTGTTCCTCATCTCATATCCGACATAGACAAGGATGTCAGCCACAGTACCGTGTCTTCCTTTGCAGATGACACCCGAATCTGCATGACAGTGTCTTCCATTGCAGACACTGCAAGGCTCCAGGCGGACATCAACCAAATCTTTCAGTGGGCTGCAGAAAACAATATGAAGTTCAACGATGAGAAATTTCAATTACTCAGATATGGTAAACATGAGGAAATTAAATCTTCATCAGAGTACAAAACAAATTCTGGCCACAAAATAGAGCGAAACACCAACGTCAAAGACCTGGGAGTGATTATGTCGGAGGATCTCACCTTCAAGGACCATAACATTGTATCAATCGCACCTGCTAGAAAAATGACAGGATGGATAATGAGAACCTTCAAAACTAGGGAGGCCAAGCCCATGATGACACTCTTCAGGTCACTTGTTCTACCTAGGCTGGAATATTGCTGCACTCTAACAGCACCTTTCAAGGCAGGTGAAATTGCCGACCTAGAAAATGTACAGAGAACTTTCACGGCACGCATAACGGAGATAAAACACCTCAATTACTGGGAGCGCTTGAGGTTTCTAAACCTGTATTCCCTGGAATGCAGGAGGAGAGATACATGATTATATACACCTGGAAAATCCTAGAGGGACTAGTGCCGAACTTGCACACGAAAATCACTCACTACGAAAGCAAAAGACTTGGCAGACGATGCACCATCCCCCCAATGAAAAGCAGGGGTGTCACTAGCACGTTAAGAGACCATACAATAAGTGTCAGGGGCCGAGACTGTTCAACTGCCTCCCAGCACACATAAGGGGGATTACCAACAGACCCCTGGCAGTCTTCAAGCTGGCACTGGACAAGCACCTAAAGTCAGTTCCTGATCAGCCGGGCTGTGGCTCGTACGTTGGTTTGCGTGCAGCCAGCAGCAACAGCCTGGTTGATCAGGCGCTGATCCACCAGGAGGCCTGGTCACAGACCGGGCCGCGGGGGCGTTGACCCCCGAAACTCTCTCCAGGTAAACTCCAGGTAATAAAGGTATGTAATACTTACATATTGTTAAAAATTTTTTTTTTTTTGGAATGGATTAACTGTACTTCCATTAATTCTTATGGGAAATATTAATTCAGTTTTCAGCCATTTCGGTTATCGGCTGACCTTCTGGAACAGATTACGGCCGATAACCGGGCCCCACCATATGTACCAGTGAAGAACCATAATCTAAAAAAAAAAAAAACTGAGACAAAACAATGTACATAATTAGATAGAGCCCTTCAGGAAAAATAACATTTTACTCATTATTAACACATTCACATCAGGAAAAATCAGGTTTTATTCAGCATTTTTTTTTATTTTTCAAGAAACTGACAGTTTCTCACCAACGTAAGGTGACCCAAAAAGAAGAAGCACTTTCACCATTATTCACTTCATCATTGTCTTGCAAGAGAGGCCCCATTACTACAGTTGAAAACTGCAAATATCCCCACCCCTACTTCATAGTGCAGGCACATAAACAATTACATACCATGTTTTATGGTGTCGAAGGCACTATTTTTTTCCCAAAATATCTCAAAAATTTGCCCAGTGTCTTGGAGGCCAAAGGTTTGTTCATAGGCCTCAATCTAAGCCTAAAGAAATGTTTCAATACTAGACAGTATCTAAGCTCTGGAACTTAGTACCTGCAGGCTAAGGTAAAGCAGGCGATGGAGTCGGATGGATTGTGGGTAGTATCAGTAGGATAATTCTTCTGTTTACCATGAAACTACCCAGTAATAATATTTTTACTCACATCAAATGATACTGATTTTTTTTTTTTTCAACAAGTCAGCCGTCTCCCACCGAGGCAGGGTGACCCAAAAAGAAAGAAAATCCCCAAAAAGAAAATACACCTACCATCCGACTTACAACCTGCTCGACTTACGACCACTCGCCTTACGACCGTGTTTTTATGCCAAATTTCTGGGAAATAAACAACTATTTGTGTTGTACACAGTGTTTATCCTAAACCTTACAGTATAAAATACAGTACTAACAACATAAAAAGTAAAGTAAAACATGAAATACCAAAATAAAACAATAAAATAAAGTCATTACAAAAATGTTTTGTTGATATTCAGTAGTAAAGTTCGACTTACGACCATTTCGACTTACGGCCGGTTTCTCGGAACCAAAATCGGTCGTAAGTCGGATGGTAGGTGTACTTTCATCATCATTCAACACTTTCACCTCACTCACACATAATCACTGTTTTTCCAGAGGTGCTCAGAACACAACAGTTTAGAAGCATATACGTATACACAACATATCCCTCCAAACTGCTAATATCCCGAACCCCTCCTTTAGAGTGCAGGCATTGTACTTCCTATTTCCAGGATACAAGTCTTGCAATATAAATATAACCAGTTTCCCTGAATTTTATTTTTTTTATTATTATCACACTGGCCGATTCCCACCAAGGCAGGGTGGCCCGAAAAATAAAAACTTTCACCATCATTCACTCCATCACTGTCTTGCCAGAAGGGTGCCTTACACTACAGTTTTTAAACTGCAATATTAACACCCCTCCTTCAGAGTGCAGGCACTGTACTTCCCATCTCCAGGACTCAAGTCCGGCCTGCCGGTTTCCCTGAACCCCTTCATAAATGTTACTTTGCTCACACTCCAACAGCACTTCAAGTATTAAAAACCATTTGTCTCCATTCACTCCTATCAAACACGCTCACACATGCCTGCTGGAAGTCCAAGCCCCTCGCACACAAAACCTCCTTTACCCCCTCCCTCCAACCTTTCCTAGGCTGACCCCTACCCCGCCTTCCTTCCACTACAGACTGATACACTCTTGAAGTCACTCTGTTTCGCTCCATTCTCTCTACATGTCCGAACCACCTCAACAACCCTTCCTCAGCCCTCTGGACAACAGTTTTGGTAATCCCGCACCTCCTCCTAACTTCCAAACTACAAATTCTCTGCATTATATTCACACCACACATTGCCCTCAGACATGACATCTCCACTGCCTCCAGCCTTCTCCTCGCTGCAACATTCATCACCCATGCTTCACATCCATATAAGAGCGTTGGTAAAACTATACTCACTAAATATTACCCTGCTCACACTCCAACAGATCGTCAGGTCCCAAATACCATTCGTCTCCATTCACTCCTATCGAACACGCTCATGCATGCCTGCTGCATATTAAGGGTATATTATCAGATATAAAAAGCAAAAGTAAAATTGTGGTATACAGTAGTAATACACAAAAGCTGACATTTGTACACTGTACATTTGTTTTGGTCATTTTCAGTTGCGTAACAAAGAAATGTTTTAAGTTCACTCAGCAGTGTTAACATGCTAAAGTGGCAGGTGTTTTTCATCATTTTATACACAAAATATTTTTAAACATAAGATATATTCTTAAAACGCATGAAAAAAAATCACAAATCAATATATAGTCCTAGCCGTGGACACATCCACTTGCACAGATCAAGACAGTGAGTAGAAAGAGAAAACGGCCATAAGTTCTGCAGCCTTATTTTTGTGTTTTAACTTTTTTTCCAAAATTTATCCAGTCAGAACTGGGGGGAGTAGGGCGTCCTCGACACCAGAGCATCTTGTTCACCATAAAATATGGTAGGTTTTATTCAAATTCGTATATTTACACCAGAACAAGTAATTCAGCTTGCTTCCACATTACTATATGAAGTTCATACTACAGTCATATAACAAACTTTTACAGTATTACCTTTTCTGGAATAATTAGAGTTGAATCTGAGAGAAGCGTGGAGGGACTTGAGAGAACTGAGCTTGAGACCCCAGTGCTGGAATTATGGTGACTCCCATCCAATGACATACGAGCACTAGCCCCTATTGTTTCATTGATGCTCTCTGCTGAGCCTTGTGCTATGGAGGAACCTAGTGAATTCAAAGCTGTGCTAATGTTTGTACTTGTGCTTGATGATATCGATGACCCCAGTGAATCAAGCTGTAAGAAAATACGTAGCTCATAAACTCAAAGATCCCAGGAGAGCAAAATGTCCTTTAACATGAGACAATCAATAAAATAAAATTAAGTCAAATTTTAAATACAGGCACACCTTGCCAATACAGTGCTTCACTTTAGAGCACTTCTCTAATACAGTGCTTTTCAATTATGTCTGTATTTATTATTTTCGGCAGTGATGCACACATCAGGTGACTGGTGCCATTTGTTTTGCTATTTTTACTTTTGCTCATTTTTTAGGTCTAGTACTATTGTGCACTTAATAAATGACAATATAAATATGTTTTTAGGCTTTTATATGCACTGGCAAGTAAAAAAAAAAAGGCTGTGATTCGCTTTATGGTGGTGGTCTGGAACCTAACCTGCCATATTAGTGTGGTATGCCTGTATAAGGAACATCAAGAACTGCAACTTTTAAGTTTTAAGGTGATTTTACAGTGAATATGAGTTGTTAACTTAGTCACTTCTTTCATTTACAACCTTGTTTAAACTGATAATAATTTTTGAAAACTGTGATGGCTGTATCCTACTAGGAAGTGTTCATGAAAGATGAAAACCTTTACCATCACCATCTATTAGATAAAAAGGGCCCAATGACACCCAACCTCAACCATGTACAGTGCTTTCCAATTTCCAAAACTAGTCTGACTAGTTGGTCCCTGTGCCCCTTGACAGGCATGATCTTGCCCAAACTCAAACAATACAAAAATATAAACAGCTAATTTCCACTCTGCAGCTTATTAATACTGAATTAATATTAATGGGAAAGCAGTATTCCCTAAGAGTCATAAGGTATCCCCAAAGCAAGGATGAAAAAGAAGACAGAGCAGGAGTGGCAAAGATGCTGAGAAGATATCTAGCAAAAGCTCTTTAGAGGCCAAGCAATAACTATTTCTGCATCATCTAGCAAATAATTCTTTTGTGTGTCTGTACCACCTAATAACATTTCATACCTGAGTATACTGAGGAGAATTATCAGTGTGATGTGTAGAAACAATAGGCACTGGATTCAGTACTCCAGTAGTAAGAACAACTTGCTCTGGCTGAAATGACGTGCATACCACCTGCGTTCGGCTTGCCTGTGACATTAAAATTGATGCTGAAGATGATGGATGAGGAGACAGAGAAAGAACTGATGAGGGCACAGAGGATGAAGGGAGCACAGAAGAAATTTTGGATGCCTGATGCTGTGATGAAGCAATGACATGAGAGTGAAGACCATACACCTGTCGACCAGCCCGACTGCCAGAGGACAAAGCCGGGGTTGTGTTGACAATCACATTGTTGGAAGACGTTGGAGAGCTAGACAAAACTGTTTCAGTAGAAGGCGATGTATTTCCAAGTGATATACTGGCATTGCTGGAATTGGTATGCGAATGGCAAAGAGCCATATTGTTGGAAGAAGAATGTGTATTGGAGAAATCAAGGCTGCAGGGTGTTGGGATACCCGAGAAAACTACAGCAGTGGAGGCAACGGATGCATTAGACATGCCTGTTGATGAGATTGGGACACTGGATAAAATAATACTGTCTGCAGAAGATACAATATTAGACAGAACATTTGTGGATGATATTGATATATTAGGCAATGCAAGACTGTTAGATGATATTGCAGAATCAGATATTGTAGTAATGTTTGAGGTTGTAGATACATTAGTGATGGGGTTTGCCAAGGCAGGCATGCTGGGTATCACAATACTACTGGAAGGAGTTATGTTAGAAATATCAATATCTGTAGAGGAAACAGGAATATTTGAAAGAACTGTGCTTTTAGAAGAAACAGGTATATTTGGCAGAGATATGTTGCTTGAGGAAGAAACAACTGATGGAAGGCCAAGTATATGGGAAATGCCTTGAGGTGTTTGTTGGGAAACACCAGATGTTGCCAAGTCAGTTTTGTGCTTAAATGTTGTCACAGGCTGATCTGTGGTGTGTGTACGCAGATGGGCTGCCATATTGTCCTTCCGCGAGAAGCAGCGGCAACACTTGGGACACGAATAATCTTTGACTCCTGTATGAACCTGTAAAGTATAAAAATTAAAGGCAATGAATTCATCTTGTGAAATACCATTTTAATTATAAATATATGGGACTGAGTGTGAACAAGGTAACATTTATGAACAGATTCAGGGAAACCAGCAGGCTGGACCTGAGTCCTGGAGATGGGAAGTACAGTGCCTGCACTCTGAACGAGGGGTGTTAATGCTGCAGTTTTATAACGGTAGTGTAAGGGAGCTTCTGGCAAGGTAGTGATGGAGTGAATGATGATGAAAGTTTTTTTCTTTTTCAGGCCACCCTGGCTTGGTGGAAAACAGCCGTTATGTTAATAAAATAAAAAATGGGGTGGGAATCGCTAAACCTTAGAGGTCATACAGCGCCTGGGGAAATGGAAGGCAATCACGTTCATTTCAAGGAAGGAGAGGACAAGTTCAAATCCCTGCATCAAGAGCTCCTCAATATCATCATGGAACATCCTTTGAAGGAAATACCATTTTAAAATACCATTTGAAAACTGGTGATGGGTGAAAATGAAAATGAAAACTTTTATGGAATATCAAAAACTACCAATTGCTTTATAAAGTAAAGGCATTGAACAGCATAACAAATTAATTTAATATAATTATATTGGATTTAAGGCAAAGCACTAAATCTTTAGAGGTCATACAGTACCTAGAAAATAGGAAGCAATTAGGTTTTATCCAAATAAAGGAAAGACAGGTACAATTCCTTAGATCAAGAGCATCTCACTGACACCAAGACATCTCCCATGAGGGAAAGCTAGCTCGATAAGTTAATTATTATTGGCTGGAAGGCAAAATTCAGACACTTACAGCAGTCAGACTTTATTACACAAATAAATCTTTGTTTGCTATAAGTCTCTTTGTATTACCCAACACTTTATATTCCCAGGAAAGTGCTAATCCTTCTTGTCTATTTTCAAAACATGGGTTTGCCGAGAAGCTTACAAGTGTGACACTATTAATTTTTATTTTTTTTTTTTTTTTTTTTTCAACAAGTCGGCCGTCTCCCACCGAGGCAGGGTGACCCAAAAAAGAAAGAAAATCCCCAAAAAGAAAATACTTTCATCATCATTCAACACTTTCACCACACTCGCACATTATCACTGTTTTTGCAGAGGTGCTCAGAATACAACAGTCTAGAAGCATAAACATATAAAGATACACAACATATCCCTCCAAACTGCCAATATCCCAAACCCCTCCTTTAAAGTGCAGGCATTGTACTTCCCATTTCCAGGACTCAAGTCCGACTATATGAAAATAACCGGTTTCCCTGAATCCCTTCACTAAATATTACCCTGCTCACACTCCAACAGATCGTCAGGTCCCAAGTACCATTCGTCTCCATTCACTCCTATCTAACACGCTCACGCACGCTTGCTGGAAGTCCAAGCCCCTTACCCACAAAACCTCCTTTACCCCCTCTCTCCAACCCTTTCGAGGACGACCCCTACCCCGCCTTCCTTCCCCTATAGATTTATATGCTTTCCATGTCATTCTACTGTGATCCATTCTCTCTAAATGACCAAACCACCTCAACAACCCTCTTCTGCCCTCTGACTAATACTTTTATTAACTCCACACCTTCTCCTAATTTCCACACTCCGAATTTTCTGCATAATATTTACACCACACATTGCCCTTAAACAGGACATCTCCGCTGCCTCCAACCGTCTCCTCGCTGCTGCATTTACCACCCAAGCTTCACACCCATATAAGAGTGTTGGTACTACTATACTTTCATACATTCCCTTCTTTGCCTCCATAGATAACGTTTTTTGACTCCACATATACCTCAACGCACCACTCACCTTTTTTTCCCTCATCAATTCTATGATTAACCTCATCCTTCATAAATCCATCCGCCGACACGTTCAACTCCCAAGTATCTGAAACATCACTTACTTTCACATCATCCTCCTCCCCAATTTGATATTAATTTTTGATATTAATTTTTATGTCAGCAATAAATATTAATTACCTTTGAGTGCCTGGCAAGATCTTTAGGTGCCAAGAACATTTTACTGCAGGTCTTGCAAGTGTATTTAGGACTGCGGAGCTTGTGTACAACTTTGATGTGACTTCGTAAATTGGACTCCGTCTTGAAGTCATGTCCACAGTGCCTATTGGAAAGAAGAAAGTAACAATGAAAGCAAGCATATATTCAGTAGGAAACACTAAAGCCATAGGAGTCATGAAGCACCTGGGGAAGGTATCTCTAATTCTCTGGGTATGATAGAGCCCTTCACTACCATCAAGGTATCTTGACAGGAAAAAGTTTACATACTAAGCCATCCCGAGACTGATATAGTTTTCTTGTTATGGCCATAAAACTTTCACCCAGTGAGTGCTTGGTGGTAACACAGAAGACATCAGTACTCACAACACTATGTGAGTGCTTGGAGATAACAGAAGACATCAGTACTCACATGCAACACTATGTGAGTGCTTGGAGATAACAGAAGACATCAGTACTCAAATGCAACACTATGTGAGTGCTTGGAGATAACAGAAGACATCAGTACTCACATGCAACACTATGTGAGTGCTTGGAGATAACAGAAGGCATCAGTACTCACATGCAACACTATGTGAGTGCTTGGAGATAACAGAAGACATCAGTACTCACATGCAACACTATGTGAGTGCTTGGAGATACCAGAAGGCATCAGTACTCACATGCAACACTATGTGAGTGCTTGGAGATAACAGAAGACATCAGTACTCAGAACATTATGTGAGTGCTTGGAGATAAGAGAAGACATCAGTACTCACAACATTATGTGAGTGCTTGAAGATAACAAAGAAGAAATCAGTACTTACATACAACACTATGTGAGTGCTTGGAGGTAATATAAAACAACAGTACAGTGGAACCTTGGTACTCGAACAGCTCCCTACTTGAACAATTCAGAATTCAAACGCTTTGTTTGGTAAAAAAAATCACTCGGTAGTTGACCATTTGCTTAGCACTTGACTAAACAAACATGACCTGCCGGAACTTCGCTGTAAACTATTTCGTGTTTCTTCACATTTTTTGGTGTTTTTTATATTATTTCTATAAATAAATCACCATGGAGCCTAAGAAGATTAGTGATAACAGCCGACCAAAGAGAAAGTTGGTTGGGAAAAATTTGTTTGGTACTTGAACAGATCTACACCTGAACAGCCTTCTGGTACAAATTAAGTTCAAATACCAAGGTTCCACTGTACTCACACACAACACTGAGTGAAGGCTACAAGGTAAGACTAGAAGGCAACAGTACTTACATGCATTTGACTCTCTCCTTGGTGGTGTGCACATGGGCCAGGTGCTGGTCCAGGTATGCCTTGGCCTTGAAGAGTGCACCACACTGTGGACACATGTGTTCTCTGTCCTCCTGGTGAACTGTCTTGATATGTTTATCACGAGTGTATTCATGCTTGAATGCATTTCCTGCCATATTGAAAATGATTATCAATGAACAAAAAATCTTCATAATCTAGCCAGTCATCCAATACAAAAGTAATAAATTCAAATAAATAAACTGTATGTATCATACACAGAATATAATAAATATCAAAAAATGTATAAATTAAATACATGTGCAATGTTTAGACTTTTATTAAGATACACTTTACTCACCAGAAACTTTATCATTTCAAGAGAGTAAAGAAAATATGGATGAATATAACAGAGAAGGACAAGTGTAATGTAGACTGTGCATGGAATACATTCTCACCTGTCACCCAAGTATTAGTTACCCAGGATCAGTTTAGTTACAACTTTTTAAATGTTAAAGTTCCAGGTGTTCTTTAAAACTGTATTGCTTAAATTAATTTCTACTGATTCAAGACAGTGATCTCTAAGTACATTCTTTTCTTTGTAGATGAGTCTGACTTTGCCTATTCCTATGTATCACACTTGCAGAATCACCACAAAGTTGGTCATTCAACTGATGTTGATAATCTTCCAGTACTGTCAAAAATCAATAATAATTGAGGATTTAATACACAAGCAACTGTACACCTACCTGACCAAGCACAATATATTCACTCCAGGTCCAGACCTCTTGTCAATAAACATCATAGTTAACCCTTTGAAGGTCCAGAGGCCAAATCTCAGAGTGACAGCCAAGGTCCAAGAATTTAAAAAAAAAAAAAAAAATTCTTACAGAATTAAAGACAATATTTTTCTATAGGTAATAAAACAAACAAAAAAAAAATCCAATCAGTACTTTCCAAGATACAGAAGTGTGAAGTTGACCTTCAATGAATGGGTGGCGGCAACATCAGCAACTTCCATGAAGCCTCATTTTTTATTTATTTTTTGTTACTTTTTTCTTTTCATTTCTAATTTTTTTCCAGTAACATTTGTGGCCTGTGAGACCAATATAATGCATAATGTATATATGTACACACGTTGTATTCATCTCAATAACTGCACTAATATTTTCATCATTTCATTGTTTACAAAACTTGTTTACAACAAAAAACATGCAAAAATGATGTACAGTATATTAGTAATGTTCTATTATATATTTACATATGTACAGTCACTGGACATGTTCCTAGAACTGCTGCAGTCTGTGAAAGTCTTTGAAACAAGGTGTCATGCACAGCAGTGTCTTACTTATCTGTGGACCAGTATGATTTTATATTATGCTTATAAACATGAGGCATAAGCATTATTGTTGCAAAAAATAAATACATCTCAGCCACAGTTATCTCCTTCCACCGGTGTAGTCTTGACTGTGGTCATATCATTGTTTTTGCCATGGTGTAATCAAAATACTTGTTACTTTCCCTTACGATATTTTCCATCGAGGGCTGGTCAAAGAATAGTTCAAAGAACTGCAGTTCACCTGCAGTGTTTCCAAGGGAACAAGATGGCTGGAATCCACTTTGAGTGTCATCAAACTGATGGGGAGTGGGAACAAAATTTGGATTTTGCTGCCAATCCCAGATGCAGTTTGTGGTGGATACTAGATATCATAAGCTGGTTGTGGTTGTAGTTGTGGTTGTGCAGGTTGTGGTGTGGGGCTGAATGATGATGCACTTTGTCCTGGACCTGCTGAGTCAGCGGCTTGGGTCCCAGCCTGGGCTGGTGCCGCATGCCCGTGGCACCACCACCACCTGACACATGTGGTCCATCCATCCCAATTGTAGCCACATCAATGTTACTTTCACTGTCTATTCCAGGTGTAGGGCCACGGGATGTACTCTGTCCCCTTGGAATTGCATGTGGTACATTACCCGAGCGCATGTGGATTTGCAAGTATGTTTATTCAGGTATATACAAATACAGTTTCATATAGCAGCATATGTGTAGAGAACCTAGGATAACCCAAAAAAGTCAGATGTATCACTGGTGAATATGATTCCTCACTGTCGCTACTCGAATGGTCATCCAGAGCAATAAAATCAAAGTCCACATCACTATCATCACTATTACTCAGATCTGACACCTGGCCGCGCGAAAATATTAGTTCCCTCTTGTGACGAAGTGCAACTGAATGTGAGTGAGATGCACTGGCACCAGAGGTGGAAGGTTGAGGGTCATCAGGATTTTCGGCACTATTTTCGATATCTTGAGCATTGCTTTCATTCACAAATTGTTCAAAACCATAAAATTCCTCTTCAGATCCACTTCCATCAGTGTTAGAACTATCATTTGGGAAGAGGAGAATCCCAATTCACCGGGGAGTGAGAGCTTCCTTGCCACGAGGCATGATGAACAAAGCGTACTGAAATGGCATTCCCACAATGCAATGCTGGTGCCCCGATTTTTTATTTACTGTGCACACTGACCACACAGATGTAAGCCTACCAGCCTTCTCATGCTAAATTTGAAGCCTCTAGAATTATGGTGTAGTTCTACAGCTTAGACCCTGGCTTCAAAGCTGCAGAACTATGGGACGGACCCTCAAAGTGTTAATAATGAGCTTAAAAAGGTTCATACATAGATGGTTACCAACAACCTATATTTGAGACACTCTATATTTATCTTTTGATAATAAACCATGTCTACATTTAGATATCAGAATCAATGGTACTCAAATAGCACAATAAGAAGAGGGAAGATTCCTAGGTCTTACAGTAGACAACAAACTTAAATTTAATACCCATATCCAACACATATCAATGAAAGTCTCTAAGATAGTAGGGATACTCTTCTAAATTTACTATTCTGTTCCATAAACCACACTTCTAACACTAATTTTCTCTCATCTATCATAACTCACTTATGGAATCTCTGCCTGGGGACCCACTCTTACTATACACCTCAAATCATTATAACTCAACAGAAGGCAGCTCTCACAATAATCACAAACTCTACAAATAAATAGCACTATGCCTTATTCAAATCCCTTAACCTACTAAATATCAGTGCAACTGATACTGCTGTTCAATCCACATGTTCAAAAGATTACACTGTAATGCTGATGCTGAACTCAAAGAATTCCTAGAAAACTGTAACAGAAAACACTGGAACCACACCAGAAAAAATGCTATACCTCTCTAATATCCCTCATATTTGAACATCTACCAAAATTCTTAACAATTTTAAGGACCAAAGATGTGGAATAACTTACCAGCCAAACTGAAAAATTGCAAAAATCTCACTAAATTCAAAATTAGGCAAAAGCAGGAACTGTGTACCTAGGAACTACAGTCAAATTATTTACCCCATCTCTATTGGTAATTACCCTTTACTGCTTCTTGGTTTCTCCACATGAATACTGTTGCTACAATATACATAGTATATATACTTGGAATAGTTATTCCAACTAGAATCTGAGTTATTGTGCTGATTGTCACTTAATGTTGCAAAAAACTGCACAAGAGAACTTATGGTATTTGACTGAAAATATTTTTACCACAGTGGTTATCTCCCACCGAGGCAAGGTGACCTTAAAAGAAAAATGAAGTTTTTCTTTCTTACATTTAGGAGGTTGTACAGGAGAAGGGGTTACTAGCCCCTTGCTCCCGGTATTTTAGTCACCTCTTACAACACACTTGGTTTACAGAGGAAGGATTCTTTTCCACTTCCCCATGGAGAACCATGAAGGATTGGCATTAACAGAGTCAGCACTGCCTGGTGCTCTACCACTTCCCTATCCCCTCTGCCTCCAAAGTACCCAAAGGACAGTATTATATACAATACTGTACTATTAAGCACTCTACATCTCTATAAATGTACTACTGAATACTGTGGATGACTGAGACAAACCAGTCAGCTGATACACTACATGTAAAGGCCTGCAACTTACCACATACGTCGCACAAGTACTTCCTTTCATTAGTGTGAACCACTTGGTGGAGCTTTAGTTCTGAAGGTGTCAAGAAATGTCGAGGACACATCGGACACTTGAATTTCATATCTGCATGAGAAATCTTATCTTAAAAAACTTTAATCTATGAAACATAAAAGTGTTCAGAAAAAGTTAAATTATCAGGTTTCATATTGTTTCATATTGTAGATGGGGAGATGGAGGTATTGGGTAGATGGCGAGAATATTTTGAGGAACTTTTAAATGTTAAGGAAGAAACAGAGGCAGTAATTTCATGCACTGGTCAGGGAGGTATACCATCTTTTAGGAGTGAAGAAGAGCAGAATGTAAGTGTGGGGGAGGTACGTGAGGCATTACGTAAAATGAAAGGGGGTAAAGCAGCTGGAACTGATGGGATCATGACAGAAATGTTAAAAGCAGGGGGGGATATAGTGTTGGAGTGGTTGGTACTTTTGTTTAATAAATGTATGAAAGAGGGGAAGGTACCTAGGGATTGGCAGAGAGCATGTATAGTCCCTTTATATAAAGGGAAAGGGGACAAAAGAGACTGTAAAAATTATAGAGGAATAAGCTTACTGAGTATACCAGGAAAAGTGTACGGTAGGGTTATAATTGAAAGAATTAGAGGTAAGACAGAATGTAGGATTGCGGATGAGCAAGGAGGTTTTAGAGTGGGTAGGGGATGTGTAGATCAGGTGTTTACATTGAAGCATATATGTGAACAGTATTTAGATAAAGACAGGGAAGTTTTTATTGCATTTATGGATTTAGAAAAGGCATATGATAGAGTGGATAGAGGAGCAATGTGGCAGATGTTGCAAGTATATGGAATAGGTGGTAAGTTATTAAATGCTGTAAAGAGTTTTTATGAGGATAGTGAGGCTCAGGTTAGGGTGTGTAGAAGAGAGGGAGACTACTTCCCGTAAAAGTAGGTCTTAGACAGGGATGTGTAATGTCACCATGGTTGTTTAATATATTTATAGATGGGGTTGTAAAGAAGTAAATGCTAGGGTGTTTGGGAGAGGGGTGGGATTAAATTATGGGGAATCAAATTCAAAATGGGAATTGACACAGTTACTTTTTGCTGATGATACTGTGCTTATGGAGAGATTCTAAAGAAAAATTGCAAAGGTTAGTGGATGAGTTTGGGAATGTGTGTAAAGGTAGAAAGTTGAAAGTGAACATAGAAAAGAGTAAGGTGATGAGGGTGTCAAATGATTTAGATAAAGAAAAATTGGATATCAAATTGGGGAGGAGGAGTATGGAAGAAGTGAATGTTTTCAGATACTTGGGAGTTGACGTGTCGGCGGATGGATTTATGAAGGATGAGGTTAATCATAGAATTGATGAGGGAAAAAAGGTGAGTGGTGCGTTGAGGTATATGTGGAGTCAAAAAACGTTATCTATGGAGGCAAAGAAGGGAATGTATGAAAGTATAGTAGTACCAACACTCTTATATGGGTGTGAAGCTTGGGTGGTAAATGCAGCAGCGAGGAGACGGTTGGAGGCAGCGGAGATGTCCTGTTTAAGGGCAATGTGTGGTGTAAATATTATGCAGAAAATTCGGAGTGTGGAAATTAGGAGAAGGTGTGGAGTTAATAAAAGTATTAGTCAGAGGGCAGAAGAGGGGTTGTTGAGGTGGTTTGGTCATTTAGAGAGAATGGATCACAGTAGAATGACATGGAAAGCATATAAATCTATAGGGGAAGGAAGGCGGGTAGGGGTCGTCCTCGAAAGGGTTGGAGAGAGGGGGTAAAGGAGGTTTTGTGGGTAAGGGGCTTGGACTTCCAGCAAGCGTGCGATGAGCGTGTTAGATAGGAGTGAATGGAGACGAATGGTACTTGGGACCTGACGATCTGTTGGAGTGTGAGCAGGTAATATTTAGTGAGGGATTCAGGGAAACCGGTTATTTTCATATAGTCGGACTTGAGTCTGGAAATGGGAAGTACAATGCCTGCACTTTAAAGGAGGGGTTTGGGATATTGGCAGTTTGGAGGATATGTTGTGTATCTTTATATGTTTATGCTTCTAGACTGTTGTATTCTGAGCACCTCTGCAAAAACAGTGATAATGTGCGAGTGTGGTGAAAGTGTTGAATGATGATGAAAGTATTTTCTTTTTGGGGATTTTCTTTCTTTTTTGGGTCACCCTGCCTCGGTGGGAGACGGCCGACTTGTTGAAAAAAAAAAAAAAAAAAAAAAAATACATATATGCATAGTTTATTTATGGTAAATACTCAACTAACTGATTCTAATTCAGATTGAAAGATCTAGTGCAGTTAGCATATTTATCATAAATATTTTTAAATGGAAATGGGAAGTACAATGCCTACACTCTAAAGGAGGGGTTCAGGATATTGGCAGTTTGGAGGGATATGTTGTGTATCTTTATACATATATGCTTCTAAACTGTTGTGTTCTGAGCACCTCTGCAAAAACAGTGATTATGTGTGAGTGAGGTGAAAGTGTTGAATGATGATGAAAGTATTTTCTTTTTGGGGATTTTCTTTCTTTTTGGGTCACCCTGCCTCGGTGGGAGACGGCTGACTTGTTAAAAAAAAAAAAAAATTAAATACTGCTAGGGAAATATTTATCATCTATTAAAACATAAAAATAAAATGCTATAAGATAATTATTTACATTCTCCCTGTCTTATACAATAAGATTGGTTTTTCTGTATTAAAACAACTGAGCCCTCTTGCAAAAAGAAAAAGTTTCTTATAAATTTCAACACCATAGTGCAGGCATGTGTGAGAGTGTCAGATAGGAGTGAATGGAGACAAATGGTTTCTGGGACTTGATGAGTTGTTGAGTGTGCAGGGTAATATTTTGTTAAGGGATTCGGGGAAACTGGTCAGCTGGATTTGAGTCCTGTAGGTGGAATGTACAATGCCTGCACTTTAAAGGCGGGGTTTGGGATATTGCTGTTTGGAGTGACATCTGAACTGTCATATCTGAGCACCTCTGCAAAGACAATGATTATGTGTGGATAATGGTAAAAGTGTTTCTTTTTTTTGGGTCATCCTGCCTCAGTGGGAGACAGCTGACTTGTTGAAAAAAATCACTATCATCACCCCTATCTATCACTTTGCGTACCACTAACACCATCATCTGCCATCACCTATAGCCAGTATTACATACTATAGCTGCTACCACTATCACCTCCACCTACTAGCACCATCACCTACCAGGACTATCACTACTTAACACCATCTATCACCATTATCACCACCTTAACTCATCACCAATGACCAGTATTACATCTTGTAGATGCTACCACCACCACTACCACTACCTTCCAGCCCTATCCTCCATCCTCTATCACCATCTAACACTATCTATCACTACCTTCCACCATTGCCTATGGCCAGTATTATGTATTGCAGCTGCCACTACTACCACTACCACCTACCAGCCCCATCCCCCTATCACAACCTAGCAGTACTATCACCAGCTAAGACCACCATCTATGTCGGTTTATGTGCAGCCAGAAGTAATAGCCTGGTTGATCAGACCCTGATCCACCATGAGGCCTGATCTCAGACCGGGCCACAGAGTATACTCCTAGTATACCTAAGATTCCCTTCCCCAGAAGCTTAGTGGTTAACACAGTTTAGACCCTCCCACACAAAATAGGAATCATATACTTCCAGAGAAAATGGGCACAATTTTCTAATCTTCATAGATTACATAAGCTTACTTAAAGATCACCTTAAATTATGGTTTCTGATGCATAATGACCTGTGGCCCTACTGGGCTGAGGTGGATGGCTGTGCATGGTGGGACATGGGAATAGGTGGAAGGCTGTGGGTGGTGGGACAAAGTAAATAACTGTGGGTAGGGGGGACAAGATGGATGGCTGTGGGATGTGTGATGAAGTGCATGGCTGTGGGTCATAGGATGAGGTCAATGCAGAGTTATTATTTATTGGAGTTCTCAGAAATTCTGTCATTCTTCACTGCTGTGTTTTTCCCAGCATTTTAAAACTGTAATTAACACAACTCTTTTAAGGTCCTTCCTTCCTGCTCGCACACTACATTATAGTATATTAAGACTTTCTCCCATTTCATAAGGGCACTAAGTGGGATACCTTTTCTGTTCTCTGCTTGATTGCATCATTCACTAATTTTTCAATCAACATTCTTTTTAGCATGTTAGAAGCAGGGTCACTCAAAGCATATGCTCTTATTTTCATCTCACTGTCTTGAATTGTATGAATTTTAGATTCTCTAAACACCAAGAGCATGGGCTACCTCCATGACATGAACACCCTCAGCATCACTGGTACCCCTTTCAATGCCATTTTTAATATTCAGAAATGAGTTCAGGGCGAAGAAAATATTTAAAATACGGAGTGATAAACATACAAGAGAATGGTACAAGACACATCCATAAACTGACTGTGTGGGTCAGTGTAAACAGAGAGAAGGAAGGACAGGCGTGAAGCTAGGCCTCCCTAAAATGATGGAGACATCTAAGGTGCAAAGGGGAATTTTTCACATGAAAACCAGCACAGTTTTAAAAAATTCCAGCTTTACAGCGACTTAGCATATGAAAAGACTGCACACTATAATTTTTTTTGGGATATAAACACGAATAACAGTCTATTAAACATGCACTACATAGGCATGGGCTATGAGAAGTCCTACTGTATTTTCCCTCATAAGAGGTTCTCAAGATGTGAACCCTGAAATCTGGCTTCAGGAATATATGCACCAAATTTGGGAGGAAAACTTTGAAGTTGCAGAATAATGATGATAAAAAATGCAGTACTTGATTAATTATGAGAAACGGGATGTATTGTCTAAAGCGGTGTTTGTCAACTTTATGATGATCCCATAACACTGGAACCATTAAGTCCATCAATGGTAAGGCAGGGGTTGCAACTGTTGTGGCCTGCCACAGAGCCAATGACTGACAGACTCATCTTCATGTCCCAAAAACCATCTTGCTGCATTCCTGCCATAGGGCTATCTCCACTGAACAGGTAATATTACAAAAAAGACCTGTCACAATTTTTGCCTAACAAATAACCCAACAACAATGACTCTCTAGCCACTGAAGATTTACCCTACTCATGACTCCAGTGAGGGCTGTGCCCACTGTCTGAGAAATACTGGTCGAAGGAATTTATGCTTTTCAAAAAACATGTACAGTACTGGGACAGTACATTTAAGAGGGTAAATAAGTCAAAATACCAAAGCATTCTGCATGGTCTTAGACCGGGCCGCGGGGGCGTTGACCCCCGAAACTCTCTCCAGGTAAACTCCAGGTAAATATTAAAACAAGATCTAATTTTTGCAGGAGTCATCTTACAGAAATGAAAAATAACAAAATTAATGTGTGGTTTTTTAACTGCTGAAAATCTACAATTTAGTCCCATAAACTTTGCACCGTGATTAAAAAAACAAATAATTAATCCATTAAATTATTCCATATTCTTACCATACTTCATAATTACCTGCTACACACACTGAAAGGAATGTTGTAAAGAAATAATAATGCACAAGAAAAAAGAAAAAAGAATATATCAAAGAAAAAAAAGGAGTACGAATGGAGAAAAAACATCGAGTAAAGGCAGTGAATTGGAGGAAGTAGCAAAGGAAACTAGAAAAAATTACAAGAGCAAGAAAGTTACTGGGCATATATGAGGTATTTCTGATAGTAAGGACAAACTCAACACATGAAATTTTGTATAAAATCTGTCAAACCACTATTTATATGTGAGAAAATGAAGATCAATTCAAAAGAAAAAATTAGAATGCAGTAATTTCTTTTTAGTACTTTCAGGCATTTTTTTTTTAAATCTAAGAATTTGAGTTCACTCCTGCAATGAAAAACACATTTTAGGTACATTATAACAATACTATAATATAAAGTAATACATACAAGTGTCCTCATGATGGACAGCTTTGTGTTTGCGATAACTCTGCTTCCACTTGAAGGATCGGTTACACTGAAGACAGACAAACTTCGCTGCTTCATGTTTGGTGCTCATGTGTAACTGAAGGTAATATGGTGTTTTGCAGTCCTTCTCACACACTTTACAAACATTGCCACTGCCTGAAAAATAAAACACATTTCATTCATATATTCACATGCATTGCCTAAAATGCTACTTAATGATGCATTCTGCTAAGACAAACTAGATGGTAAAATACACCCTATCATGGAAAGGAAGTACAGGTGCTCCTCGACTTAATGATATTTCAACTTTATGATGGTGCAAAAACAATTACTTTGGAGATGAAACTTAAGATAATTACCCAGCATAAATGTGGCAAGTCTGTAACTTTTTTTTTTTTTTTTTTTTTCAACAAGTCGGCCGTCTCGTTGAAAAAAAAAAAAAAAAAAAAAAAAAAAGTTACAGACTTGCCACATTTATGCTGGGTAATTATCTTAAGTTTCATCTCCAAAGTAATTGTTTTTGCACCATCATAAAGTTGAAATATCATTAAGTCGAGGAGCACCTGTACTTCCTTACTTACTTACTTATATTCATTTATTTAATTTTCAATACTGATATTTGGTTAGTTACAGTAATTATTTGTTTATTTATTCACTGACAGCAATTATTTATTTACTTATTTATCACATCATTCATATTCAACTTACAATATTTTCAACTTACAATGAGTTTCTTAGAACATAACCCCATCATAAGTCGAGGAGCACTTTTACTGTAGTTGCTTATTAAAGCATGTTAACCAAGAGTGAGGGTGTGTACACGCAATCAACTATTCAGTTACTGGCAAAGCACAAGTGCTTAGCCTGACTGAGAAATGGGAATATAGTCTGTGTTATGGTAATGCCATAATATCAGTATTTATTAACAAATAAAACTTGCAAACAGATATGATCAGACCCTCAGTTAGAGGTGAGGTCAGGAGCTATGACCTGACTCCTGCAAACACAACCACGTTCACTGGAATTTTCACTGCACATAAATAATCTTCTATATACTACTATACTTCTAATAAATGCACTACATAAACAAAGGTAATTTTTCATAAACATAACACACCTGTACATAACTATTTTGCTTTACAGTAACAGGTGGAATATCAGAAAAATTGGAAAGCAACTGACCTCCTTCTTTATGAATAGATTTGTGGACCCTAAGAGATTCCTCATGCCGAAATTCTTTGCCACAAAAGTCACAAGTATATATTTTATTTTGATGAGTCCTGAGGTGACGCCTCATAGTGCGCTGAGTCTTGAAGATTTTCCCACACTGAGGGCATGGTTGATTAATAGGGCAGTGAGTTACACGATGAGCCTCTAGTCCACTCTTCTCTACAAAGCATTTGTTGCAGAAAGTACACTGGAATGTTTAAGAATACAGTTCAATGATTATCATTAGTAGTAGTAGTAGTAGTAGTAGTAGTAGTAGTTAGTAGTAGTAGTAGTAGTAGAAGTAGTAGTAGAGTGGCGGTTTTGGCGGTGGCGGGTGGCGGTGGGCGGGTGGCGGGCGGTGGCGGTGGCGGCGGTGGCGGCGGTGGCGGCGGTGGCGGTGGCGGTGGTGGCGGTGGTGGCGGTGGTGGCGGTGGTGGCGGTGGTGGTGGTGATGGTGGTAGTAGTAGTGGTGGCAGCAGCAGTATCAGCAGAAATAGAAGTACTGTAGTAAAGCTATGAGGGTCATACGGTGATTGGAAAGGGTTGAGTGTGATTTAAAATGTAGGGCAACATCAATTCTTTGGCTCAAGAGCCTTCTACTAGTATCAAGGCATTTTACCCCCTTTAAATGTCACTACAGTAATTTAACTATAAACACTGTATATGGGACAAAATTCTATACTTATGACTATGTCAAGAAAACTCAAATTACAGTATTAACACATGAATACTAATGGTAAGACATGAACACTGATGGTAAGACATGAACACTGATGGTTAGACATGAACACTGATGGTAAGACATGAATGCTGATGGTAAGACATGAACACTGATGGTTAGACATGAACACTGATGGTAAGACATGAACGCTGATGGTAAGACATGAACACTGATGGTTAGACATGAACACTGATGGTAAGACATGAACGCTGATGGTAAGACATGAACACTGATGGTAAGACATAAACACTGATGTTAAGACATGAACACTGATGGTAAGACGTAAACACTGATGTTAAGACATGAACACTGATGGTAAGACATAAACACTGATGTTAAGACATGAACACGATGGAAACATAAACACTGAGTTAAGACATGAACACTGATGGTAAGACATAAACACTGATGTTAAGACATGAACACTGATGGTAAGACATGAACACTGATGGTAAGACAAGAACAATGATGGTAAGACATGAACACTGATGGTAAGACATAAACACTGATGTTAAAACATGAACACTGATGGTAAGACATGAACACTGATGGTAAGACATGAACACTGATGGTAAAACATGAATAACAATGGCAAGACATGAACAATGATGATAAGACATGAACAATGATGGTAAGACATGAACAATGATAGAACAATGGCAAGACATGAACAATGATGATAAGACATGAACAATGATGGTAAGACATGAACAATGATAGTAAGACATGGGTAAGATGATGTAATTTTTTTTATTTTTTGTTGGGGAAGGGCTATACCAATAAAGGCCACACAGCCCTGGGGAATGAAAAGAAACGGGTTCAATCCAATGGGCAATAAATCCATTTCCCTTTGAATCAAAACCACCTCCTGGTATCAAAATTTGATGCGTACTGTATTGTCTTTAAATGGTCACTGTTGGTGTCGTCACTAAATTTGGACTTTATGTATGCAAGACAGGGCTTCATTTTCCCACTTCTGCTTAAAACCCCAACCGGGCAAGAATTAAGAATATTATTTTAGTACAAGGTATACACTCATGACTAATGCATACTCTATATTCTTGGGAACAGTACATCCATGACTAATACAGTACTGATAATGTTAGGACAGTACACTCCCCTGACTAAAACATATGTATATTGCTAAACACTTGTGGCTAACAATATCAAAATGAAAAAAAAAATAGAAAAATGTAATATGCAGTACATAATATATTATTTTTTTTTCAACAAATCGGCCCCTCTCCCACCAAGGCAGGGTGACCCAAAAAGAAAGAAAATCCCCAAAAAGAAAATACTTTCATCATCATTCAACACTTTCACCTCACTTGACATAATCGCTGTCTTTGCAGAGGCGCTCAGATACGACAGTTTAGAAGTCCCTCCAAACTGTCAATATCCCAAACCCCTCGTTGAAAGTGCGGGCACTGTACTTCCCATTTCCAGGACGCAAGTCCGGCTAACTGGTATATTAATTATGTTTACACTAAAAAGTAAAAATACTCACCATGAATGGTTTGTTACCAATATGGTAATTTAGATGCCTGAGAAAACGACTGCGACGAAGGAATATTTTTCCACAGTAGGTACATCTATTTCCTCTGTAACCATGAGAGCCATCATCTTTCCCTAGCACAGCTTTTGAGTCTCTGAAATTATACATACCAAAATAAATCTGAACTTGAAGTACAGTTACGAGATGTGTATAGTACAGTGGTACCTCGGGATACGAACTTCATTCGTTCCAGAAGGCTGTTCAAGTGCAGATACCAAACAAATTTGTTCCCATAAGGAATAATGTGAATTAGATTAATCCGTTTCAGACCCCCAAAAATACACTTACAAAAGCACTTACATAAATACACTTACATAACTGTTCGAGTTTTGAGCTGTTCATATCCCAAGGTACCACTGTACTACCTGAGTGTAGGTTTGGGTTTTAAGACCAAATTTTTAAGCAAAAAATAGACAGTCCAGTCAACCTATTAAATGAATAATACCTTTTAAGAAGTTGAAATCCTTACATACTGAGGCCTACTGCATGCTAAATTTTACTTCTTTGGTGCATCAAGGGCAAAACCAGATATGGTGACCATACATTACAGAAGTATCACTTGCTGTTGGAGTGTGAGCAAGGTAATATTTATAATGGAAGTCAGGAAAATCCATTAACCAGACTTGAATTTTGGAGTTGGCAAGTACAGTGTTGGCACTCTAAAGGAAGGGTGAGGATGTTGCAGCTCAGTGTCAGCTGAACTGTGATGTCTGCATACTTCTGGCAAGAAAATGATTGAATGAATATTTTTTTTTTTTTTTTTTTTTTGGGGGGTGGGGTGGAGTAATCCTGTGGGAGACAGCCAGTGTATTCAGAAAATCTCAAATGCCTTACTTGAAATCTGGATCATCAGGATCATCTTCATCCCCTTTATATCTTGCCTCTTCTTGATGTTCTTGCTCTCTCTCTGTTTCTTCATGTCTGGGTTCACATTCAGTCTCTGTCTTCACAGTAACAGACATATGTTCAGTGTGTGCAGATTTCATGTGTTGCTTATATGCTTCATAGCTTGCAAAATCTTTCCTGTGGTGAAAGATAAGCAAAAACAGAATGCACATTAAAAAGCAGCTCATATATTCAATATAGTGGACAATACTATGTGTTATGGAAGTATATTGCCTCAAATTATAAACCTATGGAACTCTATCCACCAAAATTATTGACAATAAGACAGAACCACAGTATAAAATCCCCCTGGAAAACTTTTCAAGCAAACTAAGGTGATTTTTCATAAGCCAAGGCTTTCCTGTACCCTGCCCCACATACACACTCAGAGCCTAAGGCTACTGAAGTCACTGCCAACAATACACACAGTAAACAGTAATATGTATATTTACCATTTTCTCACTTGCTACTCTTTTACCAATATCACATATCACACTGACCTTTATTATAAACACTTCAGGTGCATCCATATACTACATGAATCTATGATTTCCAAACTTAGGTCTTGGTATAATGTAATATATTTTTTGTGCAATACAAGTGCCAGGTAATTTATATTATTACATTTGTAATGAAGAGCTAAACTTGTATGGGTCATACAGAGCTCATGAAATGGGAGGTAATCAGGTTTGATCCAATGGGAAGGCAGCTCATATTCCATGGATTAAAGTCCTTCATCATCATCAATGACTCCAATGAAAATAAGTCACTTTGTGTGACTTTTTGGGGGTTTTCGTAGGTAATTTACACTATGTATGATAATTGTACTTATGTATACCTGTGCCTAAATAAACTTACTAATCAAGGCACCTCCTTTGAAGGGTCCAGTTTGTTAATATATCTGAGTGCTTTGTGTAAAGCCATTTACAATCCACTAAACGAGAAACAGAAATAAACTTGCCATTACCTGCATGCCAAACAGCGAGCCTGCTGATTACAATGAACTGTTGATATGTGAACCTCATACTTGGTCTTGCTTCTTCCTTTCCAGCCACAGATATAACAAGTGAACATGTGTCCTTCTTGCATGTGGCGGTCACGACTCACCTTGGTCCTGTAGCAGTATATCAAAAGGGGTTTTGGGATATTAGCAGTTTGGAGAGATATGTTGTGTATCTTTATACGTATATGCTTCTAAACTGTTGCGTTCTGAGCACCTCTGCAAAAACAGTGATTATGTGTGAATGAGGTGAAAGTGTTGAATGATGATGAAAGTATTTTCTTTTTGGGGATTTTCTTTCTTTTTGGGTCACCCTGCCTCGGTGGGAGACTGCCGACTTGTTAAAAAAAAAAAAAAAAATATGCTAAGAATATGAAATACTAATAACATGTAATGTTAAATGATAACAGTAACCTGCCTTGGTAATAAATGGGCAAACTGTTAAAGAAATAACAATAATGTGAATAGAATAAGAGAATATGTCATACATTATTGTCTACAAATATATATAAGTTATTAACAGGTCCCAGTAATGTTTTTAGAAGTACTGGATTGTATGATACTGTACTCCATGAAGCATGGAGTCATACACAGTGCCTCCCTACACTGCTGACACATGAAGTGTGTCCTTCTGCTGTTGGGGTTGCCTTGTGGTGTGAGAATACAAAATACACTTTTTCTGAGAATACTTCCTTTTCTGGGTATACCTGGACCTGGAGCATACCTGGAGAGGGTTTTGGGGGTCAACACCCCCACAGCCAGGTCTGAGACCAGGCCTCATGGTAGATCAGGGTCTGATCAACCAGGCTGTTACTGCTGGCCACACGCAAACTGATGTACAGTGGACCCTCGCCTAACAAACGCATCGCATGACGTTAAATTCACCTAACGATACATTTTAACGCTAACTTTTGCCTCGGCTAACGCTAAAAAACTCGCCTAACGATATTTGTTCTCGGGTACCAATTAATATCGTTAGGTGAGGGTCCACTGTACGTCCGCCATATTTGGGTAGATGGTACTGTGTCAGGAAATGACAGTTAGTGAGTATTCGCTCTGGTACTTCCCCCTCTGGTTGTGGTCGAGGGACAGGTCACTGTTGAGGGGCAGGTACAGGTGTGTCATTATACTTTTGTATACTGAGGATGAATTCTGCATATTGAAGTTGTTTCTGGGTATTTATCTGGTCCATATTGAAAGCATTGAGCACTGCAATGTCACAAGGTGGAAAAATACTTTCATGTACCAACTGCGACTCCTACACACGCAATCAGCGAACTCTATTTGCATGTCACACTTGTAGACTAGTCACATGTTGTTCATAAAGTCAATGACAGCAGCTGGCTTTACAATGAGTTCTTTGGTGTTCCCATTCACTTTGTTTGTACCATCTCATTTCTGTGGATGGTTGACAGTAACATCATGTCCCATTTGTCATGCTACATCAGTGCCATGGTATCACTGGCTTGAAACGCCTGCACTGCACCATCGCCACTGCTTCCAGTGAACCTTAGTATATGCCTTCTATTTCTTCTCACTGTTCCACATATATCAGTATTGTTCACAGGGAGGAAATTAGCGAGCACAGGGCTTGTATACCAATTGTCTCTGAATGATGCATGACCCTTGCAAAGATATGGTTCCATCATCTTGCAAACAACATTACTGGAAATGCCCAACATCCACTTGGTATCATCAAATGTGTTTCTCCCAGTGTAGACAGTGACATCCAACATCATGCCAGTCTCATAATCACACATAACAAAAAGTTTTATTCCAAAGCAATTATGTTTGCTTGGTATAAATTATTTGAACGACAATTGTCCCATGAACAGAATCAAGGACTCATCAACAACAATGTTCTTGAAGGGATAAAAGTAGGCAATGAATTTTTGTTTCAGATATATAAGCACTTCCCTGATTTTGTGTAGTAGGTCGTTTCTGTTGGGCCTATTCCTGTCTGAGAAGTGCAGTATTCGTAGCAATAGTGTGAATGTGTTGCAGGGGAGGTCACAGAAGACTGGAGTACTGAGGAAGTAGTCTGTGGACCAGTACTGTGCTATACAGTGCCTAGAAATAAGATTTCACTCACAATTGTATCTTTCCATCTGCACAGCCATGACGATTCTGTAACTTCTGTGTTGTCCAATATATAGAGGCATTAATTGTTTGTTTGGGTAACAATCAGGTTCATGATAGGCTCATCAAAGTATAGTTGAAAATACTCTAACTCTGTGGACTCATTCATGATAAGACATTCTGAGAGGATGCCACTTCCACTAGCATCAAGATTGAAAGGATGTGGCACAAATGTTGTACATTCTTTCCAATACCATTCAAGGTCTGATGGCGCATTGTGGACCTGTGGCATGAGGCATGGTGGAGGGACAGGAGTGGAGGTAGCCATGGTGGAGTGAGTGCCAGGTGGTCCTTTGTCTGGCTGACCAGCATGCCATGTGGCCCAGGCACCATGCCACCACCATCCTCCTCCTCCATCCCAGCATTATTCCCCTTCATGACCAGTATCACTATCAGTGGCCAGGGTTTTCGATCGTGACCTCTCACGACTCTTGGGGATTGCATATGACACACTGCCTGAGTGTAGGCAAGGACACCTAAAGGTACACTTTACTGAGAAATAATGCATATCTCTGTCACTGGTAGAGTCCTCTAAGGGCATAAAATCAATCTCATTGTCACTGCTATCACTTTCACTATCATCATCACCGAAACTGTGGTAAAATGTTAATTTCTGCTTGCGCTGTAGCCTCCAAGTGGTAACGCTGGTCACCCCAGAGGTGCTTGGCTGTGGGTCTGGTGTGGCCACACTAGCCACCCCAGAGGTGCTGGCATGAGGGTCTGGTGTGGCCACATTGGCCATGCTGGCCACCCCAGATGTGATGGGCTGAGGGTCATCTGCGTTATCATCGATACTAACACTATCTCCTCGATCATTTGTGGCCACATCTGTCTCAAATCCACTAAACATGGGTTCTATATCATTTCCTTTAATAAGAGTGTGTTGATACAACAAGGCATGACTGAATCCTGGTGGTCTGCCATGATGCTACCCAAGCTGGTGCTGAAACTAACTGGTGCCCCACAAGGTACTGCGGGGCTCCAGATTTTTTAATACAGAGCACACTGAGTGCATAGACCCATTTTTCTCATGTCTAAGCCTCTCAGGCCTATCGAGCCAAATTTGAAGGCAGGAAAAATAAAATGTTGAGTTATGTTTGGAGTGCCAGCAGTAAAAATGTAGATCGACGTTTGGACAGTTAAAGAGTTAAAGTTGCTGTTTCCAAGAAAATATCAACGACGTTAAGTGAGAACTTACTGTAAATGCATGAGAATGAGGAAGAGGTTGTGAACAGTGAAAATATAGTTATACAGTGTATTTGAAGGTGAAGATTTTTCTTTTAAAAGAGGACCTTTTATTAAATATAAATAAAATACCTATACAGTGGACCCCCGACATTCGATATTAATCCTTTCCTGAGAGCTCATCGAATGTCGAAAATATCGAAAGTCGAATTAATTTTCCCCATAAGAAATAATGGAAATCAAATCAATCCGTGCAAGACACCCAAAAGTATGAAAAAAAAAATTTTACCACATGAAATATTAAGTTTAATGCAATAGAATAATTACAATAACAACAATAACAATAGATTAATAATAATAGAATAATTGACATTTACCTTTAATGAAGATCTGGTGATGATTGATGGGATGGGAGGAGGGGAGAGTGTGGATGGTGTTAATGTTTAGAAGGGGAATCCCCTTCCATTAGGACTTGAGGTATTAAGTCTTTTTTCTCGAAGGGTTGACACTAGAAGCTTTCTTGGGGCCCATGGTTACTTATTTTGCAGAAACAAGCACCAAAAACAGTGATAATATGGAATGTACCAAATGTATCCTTAGATGCGCGCACACTGGCTGGCTTGTAAACACTGGCACACACGGGGCAGTTCAGGTCACACGTGGACATGTCTCGTACAAATCGTATCGAATAGCGGGTTTTCGATCGAATGTCGAGGCGAAAATTTTGCGTTAAAATGCATCGAATGTCGATGCCATCAAATGTCGGGGGTCCACTGTACTGTATATCAGTGAAAAAAATATGTTTTTGCTAATTTAATGAGCAATTAAAATATGTTTAATAATAACATGAATTTTTTCCTCTATTCAACAAACCAAAATAGAATTAACAATAATATAGCAATAATTACATTTTAGATTTTTATGTATACAAGTTTCCCTCGCTTTATGCTGGTTTACTTTAAGCAAATCTGCTATTATGTGATGTTCCATTTCTAATGCTGTATGCAATATGGAGCTTGCAAAATGTACTAAAGACTCCTTTTATGTGGAATTAAACACTGTGGGCTGATTGAGCTTAGTATCACTGCCATAGGTCTGAAACACATCTGCTGCATAAAAAGAGGGACACATCCTTCTGTGTGTTTTGTGAGATAATTCTATTAAATAGCAAATTTTGGGAAAGGATATAAAGTACACTTTTTTTTTTATAAGATCCATGGGTAAAAATTATGGATGTACAGTCAGGCCCCACTTCACAGTGCTTTGCTTTACAGTGCTTGGCTAATGCAGCAGTTTTCAATTAAACCCATTCTTCAAACTTCCTACAATAAATATATTCACCACTCACTATATGCTAAGGACAAAAATATTTTAAGGTAAGTAATGTGTGTACTATACAGTAGACCATTATATTACATGGATTTATTTGCCACATTTTGGTTATTACACTATTGAAAAATTGTGGCATAATTTTATACAACACTTCATAAAATTAACTTAACACAGTTCCCATTGTAAGTGGGGAAAAAATTTCCCCAGCTCAGGCTGCTGCCTGGCTGTGGGTCAAACCACTGCGTCAGTTGGGGAAACCTACCGCCATCCCTTGCCATCCCCGACACCCCCATCCCAGCCTTCGTGCATGTGTGTCTAGTGCAATTCTCTCCTGGGAGCTAGCTGTGCTTGTGAATTGTGTTTTTATATTTTAATTGCCATATCTTGTATCTGCCAAGCAATCATGGCACCTAGTAGGTATACAAGTTTTGCTGAAAGTGGCAAGAAAAGGTAATAAGAATAATAATAATATCTTTATTTCTACAAGTACATGTACAAGGTATACAGGTGTGCAGAGCATTTCGGGCAAATTAGGTCAGTTTTGTCCCAGGATGCGACCCACACCAGTCGACTAACATCCAGGTATCCATTTTACCGATGGGGAACATAGACTCCCAATGTTTTTACCCTTGCCAGGAATCCAACCTGAACCCTTGTCGTGTGAAGTGAGAGCTTTAGCCACCAAGCCACAGGGCACCATGGCCACCAGGCCATGGTAAGTTCAAGTCTTGGAGTTACAAAAGAAATAGAGATATTATGGCCTTAATGAAGCATGTTTGCAGAGTTTAAAAAAATGAGGTAAATATATGAGTTTGTGTAATGAATATCCCAGGATGTCATTTCACTGAATGACTTACTTCACAATCATCGACAATCATCGACTTCACAATCATCGACAAACACCAGCACCCACAATTTAAAATAAGGAATACTATCATTTCTACTATATCTGTAGTCTTAAGCAGCAAAAACAACATAATACTTCACGACAATGAACAATAATTACATATTCACTTTTATTTTTGTAAGATCTGGATGTCTAAAAAAAAAATTTTTTTTTCCTTTTTTGGGGCTACCAGGAACATAACCCTATTTTCCCCATAAGTTCTTCAGTTTATGTAACACAGATTTTATCTAACATGGCATTTTCAGGAACATAACTATGGTGTAACATAACAGTCCACTGTATATGCATTTTTTAGGCTTAGTTCTATTACTCACTTAATATATGATAGTGTAAACAAGTTATCAGGCTTTTATATGCATTTGAAAGTGAAAAAATTAAATATTTCACTTTACAGTAATTTTCACTTTACAGCAGTAGCCTAGAACCTAACCTGCTGTATAAACAGGGCCCTCCTGAGCTACACTGTAATAATAAAGCATCTCTGAAGAATTAGAACTTTATAACACATCACAAAACTAACCTGAACATAGCATCACAACTTTCACACTCCCACAGCATATTGCTTGTATCCCCCTTTATGAGTTTCTGTCGTTTTCTGTTGCTTGGTTCTCCTAAATTCTTGTCCTGATCCTGAAGACATGTAAGAGAAGTGGTAAGTCATAACAAAATATAATTCATTTTTTTGCAGGATACACTATAGTTTATCTGCTTCTGGTGACTTAGGTGAGATTAGTGTATGTATGCTGTGCAGATGATTACCAGCTCCTGTGCCAGACAGCACACCCCACCACTTTTCATAAGCCTGAACCTACTAAATATACAAGGCATACACTCATATTATTATTCTTATAAACCTCCACCCTGACTACCTCGCATTAGTATTAAGATTAAATAAAGATTTATTAAAAAGTTAACCACTCTTATCTTGTCTAGATTTAAGTACATAGTTATTATGCATTAGGGTTAGCCTGCCCAAAATGCCCCAGCATAATAGTGGTTTTCTTTGTAATTAACAAACCAAAATAAAAATAAAATCTTTATTCTTTATTTTTTTAAGTACAGACTTGTATGCAACATTGGTTTTGTAGTAATCTCACAAGAACCAACATAGCATTGGAATATAGTTAGTAGAGCAACTGTGTATTGGATATTAAAAGACTCAAAACTGTGGGACATGCAGAGTCTGCAAGCTTATTGTAGCTAGGGACCCAGCAAAAGATGACTTTACGTGATGAAGGTGCCGCCCAGAGTTTAACATGAGCAATCAAACTTACCAAATTTAGGGTACTGCAGATTTCTAGGGTTAACAGTAACAGTGTACTGTAATGTCTTACAGTATCTGATTTTCTATAGGCTTCACTTGAAACACTATACCGTAACAAGGTAGACTACAATTTGGTTTAGAAAGACACGTAAGCAAACACTATAACATATTTATTAGAAAACGTTTCGGTCCTGGGACCTTGATCACTTCTAACATACAGAGGTAGAAAGACATTATATATATAGGCGGAGAGTGAGATGTGACGCACGTGACCTGAGGAATGTCATAAGAACATAAGAATGGAGGAACACTGTAGAAGGCCTACTGGCCCATGCGAGGCGGGTCCTTATCAAAACAACCCCTGCCTATGATGAGGACGGGTAGACGATGAAATCATGTGACTCCTGTGTTGTTGGGTTGGTGCTGCTTAAGCATCATGTATGCCATTGTTTTTGAAATTTTGTAGTTTCCAGTGTTGCGTTCTATAGTGTCGGTGACGGCGATTAGTGAGGCTTCTAGGCACCGTCGGCGTCTGAGGTCTGGTTCGGTGAGAACGAGTTGTGCCTCATTCCAGTTCATCAAATGCCCCGTGGAGTCTCTGTGGAGGACACAGGCGTACCTTACATCGTCTCTGTTAGAGGATTTTCGATGCTCATTCAGGCGGACTGCAAGATCTCTGCCTGTCTCGCCTACATATTTCTTGGGACAGAACCCACAGGGGATAGTGTAGACGCCTGCTGTAGAAGTTAGAGGTGTGGGGCTGCGTTTCGTAGTGAGGTCTTTGATAGAGTATGTGTTTATGGTGGAAACGTTGATGTTACTCATAGCAAGTGCCCGGCGAGTATTCGTGGCAACATCGCCACATGGGAGTACTATGAACAGCCCCCTAAACAGTTCATAGTACTCCCATGTGGCGATGTTGCCACGAATACTCGCCGGGCACTTGCTATGAGTAACATCAACGTTTCCACCATAAAACACATCCTCTATCAAAGACCTCACTACGAAAAGCAGCCCCACACCTCTAACTTCTACAGCAGGCGTCTACACTATCCCCTGTGGGTTCTGTCCCAAGAAATATGTAGGCGAGACAGGCAGAGATCTTGCAGTCCGCCTGAAATGAGCATCGAAATGCCTCTAACAGAGACGATGTAAGGTACGCCTGTGTCCTCCACAGAGACTCCACGGGGCATTTGATGAACTGGAATGAGGCACAACTCGTTCTCACCGAACCAGACCTCAGACGCCGACGGTGCCTAGAAGCCTCACTAATCGCCGTCACCGACACTATAGAACGCAACACTGGAAACTACAAAATTTCAAAAACAATGGCATACATGATACTTAAGCATGCACCAACCCAACAACACAGGAGTCACATGATTTCATCGTCTACCCGTCCTCATCATAGGCAGGGGTTGTTTTGATAAGGACCTGCCTCGCATGGGCCAGTAGGCCTTCTACAGTGTTCTCCATTCTTATGTTCTTATGACATTCCTCAGGTCACGTGCGTCACATCTCACTCTCCGCCTATATATATAATGTCTTTCTACCTCTGTATGTTAGAAGTGATCAAGGTCCCAGGACCGAAACGTTTTCTAATAAATTTATTTATTTATTTATTTATTTATTTATTATAAATTTGTGCACACATACAGAGGTACAAAAAAATACAGATAAGAGCAGTATGCCAAAGCCACTTATACTATGCATAGCATTACGGGCTGGCTTAAAAATTAACTTAAGATTAACTAAGCAATGATGAAGTCAGTGATAAAACATTAATGTAAACAGATTACTATAAAGCACAAGTGAGTATTACAAAGACAGGTCATATGAAGGATTCTGTTAGGTAGTGTATTTAAAAAATAATAAAGTTAGATTGGTTTTAGGTTTAACATTTATGTGATATAATTGTGAGAAACATTTAAGAATACAATTTATAAGGTTCAGTTATTCCAGTATTTATTTGGTTTTGGGTGAGTAAGTGATCTTTGAGTAGAGACTTGAATTTATAAACAGGTAGTGTTTTTTTATATTTACAGGTAATGAATTCCAGATTTTAGGGCCTTTTATGTGCATTGAGTTTTTGCATAGTGTGAGATGAACACGAGGAACATCAAAGAGTGATCTGTGCCTTGTGTTATGGTCATGTGTTCTGTGAGGTTGGCAAGGAGATGTTTGAGGGGAGGGTTAATATCAGAGTTAAGTGTTCTATGTATGTAATAGGTGCAGTAATAAGTATGGATGTTTTGTATGGTGAGTAGGTTTAGTGTATTGAATATTGGTGGAGTGTGCTGCCTGTAGTGAGAATTTGTTATCATTCTAACTGCAGCCTTTTGTTGGGTAATTAGTGGTCTGAGATGGTTAACTGTTGTTGAGCCCCATGCACAAATTCCATAGGTGAGATAGGGGTAAATAAGAGAGTGATATAGGGCCAGGAGGGCTGACTGTGGAACATAGTACCGTATCTTCGATAGTATGCCTACAGTCTTGGAAATTTTCTTAGAAATTTGTTGTATATGTGTATGAAATTTGAGTCTATTATCAAGGTGGATTCCTAAGAATTTTCCCTCTGTTAGCTTTGTGATAGGTGATCCGTTTATCATTATGTTAAGAGGGACATCTGTAGCTCTGTTACCAAACTGAATGAAGTAGGTTTTGTCAATGTTTAGTGTAAGTTTGTTAGTCCTCATCCAGGTAGATATTTTCTGTAATTCGGTATTTACAGTATTGGCTAGTGTGACTGGGCTCGGGTGAGAGAAGACGTATGTAGTGTCATCTGCAAATAGTGTGGGTTTGAGTAATTGCGAAGCATTTGGAAGGTCATTTATGTATAGGAGAAAGAGAAGAGGGCCAAGGACACTTCCCTGTGGGACACCAACTGTAATTGGTTGCGCAGAAGAGTTTGCCCCATTTGCGTACACATATTGGCTTCTGTTGCTGAGGTATGACTTGAGGTAATTGAGGGAGTGCCCTTTATACCATAGTGTGACAATTTTACGTGGAGCAAGTCATGGTCAACTGTATCAAAAGCTTACGTAAGTCAATGAAGATCCCCAGTGGGACTTCTTTTTTCTCTATTGCAGTGTATATATGTTTCTAGCATGTGTATAATAGCATCATTAGTATTTTTATTAGGCCTGAATCCAAATTGGCAGGGTTGAGTATGTTTTGGGAGATAAGGTAGGAGTAGATTCGTTTATGAATTAGTTTTTCAAAGATTTTTGAGAGAGGGTGTAAGTTGGATATTGGCCTATAGTTATTCAACTCTGTTTGGTCTCCTCCTTTGTGGATCGGGGTGACCCTTGCTATTTTGAGTACTGTAGGGAAGGTGGAGGATTCAATGGATTTGTTAAAGAGTGTTGCAATGATTGGAGATAGCACTTGTGACACTTTTTTATATATAAAGGGTGGTAAGGTACTTAAATCTCCTGCCTTGTTTTTTAGTGCATTGATAATAAGGGAAACTTCGTATGGGTTAGTCGGAGCTAGGAACAGTGTGTTCGGGTAGTTGCCGGTGAGGTAGTTATTTGGTGGGGTATCTGAGCTTGGGATTTTATGGGCAAGGTTTTGTCCTATAGTGGAGAAGAAATCATTGAGTCTGTTTGCTGTTTCTGTTGGTGGGAGTTGGGGTTCATCTGATTTTGCTAATTTTATTTCGCTATTTCGTGATATCTTTTTTGTTCCCAGAATTTCAGATAGTGTTTTCCAGGTCTTTTTTATATCACCTCGTAAGTTGGATAATCTGTTCTCATAATACAATTTTTTTGCCCTTCTTATCAGGCTGGTTAGGATTGACGAGTAACGTTTTGTTTGGTCTCTGGTTATGTGACCCATTCTGTACTGTTTTTCATATTGGTGTTTTGTATTTATGGATTTGAGAATGCTGGGTGTTAGCCAGGGACTGTTCAGTCTCTTTGCTGTCATCTGTTTAGTTTTTTTAGGGCAGTGCTTGTTATAGAGGTATTGGGTCTTTTTTAGAAAATTATTAATACATTCGTTAATATCTGTATAGATTTCTAGCTCAGTGTGCCAATCAATGTTTGCTAATGCTGTTGCGAAGTTATTAATGGCTGCCTCATTGTGAAGTCTGAAGGTGACTTTAGTAGTGTCTTGGGGTAGTTTACCAAGAGTTGTTATGAGGAAAGTAGGGTAGTGGTCTGTGGTATTATCTGTAATTATGCCTGATTTTAAAGGGGATATGGTGTTGGTCCAGATGTGGTCAAGTAGGGAAACACTAGTCTCTGTAACTCTTGTAGGTTTTGTTACTGTTGGTAGTAACATACAGTTACTCATTGTGTTTGTGAATTCAGTAACGTGTGGGTCCTGGTCTTGCAGGAGATTTATATTGAAGTCACCTGAGAGTAGTAAGTGATCTTTGTTCATGCGTGCATCAGTTATCATACTTCCTAGATTTTGACTAAATTGGCTAATGTTTGACTGTGGAACTCTGTAGATGTTTATCAATGTGAGAGGTTTTTGTAGGTATTTGGATTTGAATTTAGCTATTATATATTCCCCATGTTCATCCCTTGTGCAAGTATTAGTGATACATTCTAGTTGGTCTGAGTAGTATATGGCTGTGCCACCCCCTTGTTGGTCTGGCCTACAGTTGTGTATGGCTGTGTAACCAGGAATGGCATAGACATCTGTACTATCAGGCTTTAGCCAGGTTTCAGTTAGTGTAATGATGGACATATTGGCATGTAAGGAATTTAGTAATGCTATGAGGTCATCGTAATGCTTGCTTAAAGATCTGATATTGTAGTTAAAGATAGTTATGTTGTTGTTGGCACTGAGAAGTGCCTTTGATTGTTCTGCAGTGTAGTAATTACAGTAACTGTATGTTATAGTGTTTGCTTACGTGTCTTTCTAAACCAACTTGTCGGTATTTATTACCAAGGTTTATACCAGACTACAATTTACTCTTGCTCTTATCTAATATACATGTATTGTACTATATTTTTTATAAATTATTATTGCACACTATTATGATTAATATTTAAAAATTCAACAAACCTACTTCATTTGGAATTTTCTTTGTATTTTGTATTCTAGATGATCGGCGCAATTTTTCTTGATTTGTAGCTTGGTCCCAGGTGCCTTCATCCTCATCCCATTGTGTGTTTGGAGACTGATTGGATTCTATCGAAGTTTTGTGTAAATTTTCCTGATCCTTTTCTTGGTTCTTATTTTCTCTCTTAGTCTTATTTTCATTTACTTCTCCCCTATTATTTGCTTTTTCAGTTTCCTGCACAATTACCTTTTCTGAAGTGCAGGTATTTATCTTAATGCTGCGTGCATAATCTTTTGGAATGCCTTTATAAACTTCACACCATTTAGAGTAAACTGAGGAGTAACTGCTTGTCTCGGTATCATCAACACACTTTTCATCATTCTCTGAAGCCCTTGATGTTCCTTCTTTATTGCTCATAACCACCGGATCTTTTTCCTCTTTATTTTTACCTGCATAGGCTCGGTCATCATTACCTTCTTTATTAATTTCAGTTTTGGCAAAACCTGGGGGCATACTATAGTCTTTCACATTCTTTTCCAACCAAGAATTTTTTACTCTGGCACATGGAGCATGAATTGTTATAATACTGCAGTCTGAATAGGATTCGGTTTCCCTGTGACTTTCGATTCTTGGATGCATATATTCTTTATTTATTGCTGAAGAAATCTGGGAGTTATTTCCTTCTGCTTTAAATTGAAAGGATTTGGCTCTATCAGTCAACACACTCTGTGGCTCTAAGGGAAGAGTCATATAATCTTCATTAAAAACTTCACTGGTGGCAATGGCTAAGGCATCCGGAGGTCTTGAAACTGAGGAGAACTCTAAAGATGACTGTGGGGAGGATATGGTTAGTACTTGCTCATCATGAAGTATCTCACTAGAATGTAGAACTTCCTCAGCATTCAGCACTTCTTCAGTAATCAGGTATCCACCACCTGTGCCATCTTCAGAGTTCAGAGGCTGTGGTAGAATATACGTTTTTCCATCACTCGTAAGGATCGTTACAGCGCTCCCTGTAGATAGTTCACTTCCAATTGAGCCACACTGTCCCCCTCTCCTCTCTTCTATTTCACCTTCTTTTCTTCTTGCTCCTTGCCTTCTACTTTCTGAATTGACTAATGATGCAGTTGTGATCTGAATAACCTGGCCATCAAAGAGTTGGACATGAATATGATCAGTTGGTGCTAAAGTCTCAGCAGATGCTGGTAAAGCTGCTAGCATTGTATGTGATTTAACACCGCCATGAACAGTATCTAGTTGTTCACGTCTTAGTGTCGGTAATTCCTCTTTCTTTTGAAATTCTTCTGAAGTTACTTTAGGGTCTCCTGAAGTGTAAGCTGAAACAGAATGCTCCTCCTTTTTTTCATCCATCCTTCATATGTACTGGGCAGCCCTATCTCTTCTTAACGTGCCATCTCAGTGACATTCTGCAAGAAAGAAATTGTCAAACTTGCAGTACAAGAAAAATGCATATTTAAACTGTGCATCCACACATTTAATAAATTTGAGTTCATTTAAAATTTTATACATTACAGAATTTTTATTCATAGTAAAAACCTATATTTTATACACCTGACACATTATACACAGTTTTGAGTAGTTTCTGCATTATATTTCCTCCTGAGCATCTAAAATTATTATGCTTTGCATAATAATTTTAGATGTTGCAATCCTAGAGCTGTATCAAATATGTAGAAAAGTGAACTATTAACTCTCTCAGTATAATATCCATGTATAGTAGTAGTTTTTTATTTTTATTTTTTTTTTATTGCTATTATTATTCTCAGGGAATTTCCTTTAAATTCCTCACACAGCATTACATTGCTTCTGACGAAACATTACACAGTTTGAAAGGCCTCAAGCAACCTAATTCCTTCCCCCTGAATAAGCCACAAATTTACCCGAATTATTGAACGTGATTATTTTTATCATCAAAGGCATTCATAAACTTATCAGAACATGTCCTAGAGGCAAAAATATTAGATAAAGGTTTTGTAGCAAGCTTAGGATTCCAAAAGAAATGACACTGCTTGGCTTTTATCAGTTATCCTGAGTTAATAACCTTCCAAGCTAAATAATCTTTACCTGTGAATTAAAACCTACAGTAATTCTTTCAGTTTTTAAATAAGAATCACACCAAATACATTATTTTCATTAACCTAAACCAGTGAAAAACACATAGCATACTACTTTTATCACTATTATTATAAGTAAGCTTATTTAGGTACAGGTACACATAAGTACATTATTATTATAACCAAAAAGAAGTGCTAAACCACAAGGACACATAAGTACAATTATCAAACCTAATAAGTGTAAATTACTAGGATTGCCCCATGGGCTCTGGTGGCCTGGTGGTTAACGCTCTGGCTTCACACGGTGAGGGCCTGGGTTCGATTCCCAGCCAGAGTAGAAACACTGGACGTGTTTTCTTTCCACCTGTTGTCTATGTTCCCCATCAGTAAAAAGGTAAACCCGGGTGGTTTGTCGACTGTGTGGGTCCATCCGGGGCACTGACCCCAAGGGGCCTGGTCACAGACCGGCCGCGGGGGGCGTTGACCCCCGGAACTCTCTCCAGATAAACTCCAGAAACTCTCCCGATAAAAGTCAGACAAAGTGACTTAGTTCCATTGGGTCCTTATTATATTTTTTATAATCAAAAAGAAGCGCTAAGCCACAAGGCTATACAGCAGGTCCTTATTACAGAGAACTAAACCCATGTGGGTCATACAGTGCTAGCCATACTTCCATTGCTTTTAACCTAAATTGTCTTACCTACCTAATCTAACCCCAATGGAAATAAGACAGACAGTTCTCAATGGAACTGACTCTCTTAGGTTTTCCTTGGCTAAAACTCCAGGTTAAAAATTCAAACAATCTTAATTTAAACTTGTATTAACCTTTTATCTAACCCAACTAGCCTAGCCTAACTTAGAGTGTGTTAAACCCAACAACTTGTTAAGTATCTACAGTTTCAGTTATCCAGTTTACTGTCCCAAAAATGCCTCTTAATTTTACATAATAATGGCCCCCAAAGTGCCAAAAGTAGAAAAGATGGCAGTTCTTTAAGGCCTAAGAGAAGCCACGAAGTGCTTCCCATCACTGAAAAAATGATAATTCTCCATTTATCGTGTATAATTTATCAATTAAACCTTATAATGGGCACGTATAGGACTTATATACGTATATAGAGTTTGCTACTATCCGCAGTTCCGGAATTCACGGCAGGTCCTTGAACATTTCCCCCACAGATATGGGGGTTTTTCTGTATGTATTTTAATTAAATAGTTACATACTGTATATCCATTACTCGCAAAATCGTAATGACATGATTGCAAACAAACCACAGTACGGGCAGGGATTGAACTCGTGGCTAGCGAGTCTCAATCAAGCCGTGAGTTCAATCCCAACCCCTACCTTGGTTTGCATATTCAACAGTGGTACCTGCCAAAAGTTTAAAAATTTTTTTTTGACTTAACTACAATACCAATACAATAGCTAAAAAAAAAATTAAATTTTCCTCAAATGTAACCCCCTTTCACGTAGCCCCCTCAGTTCAGATCTGGATCCCATCACCCCTCATTACTAGTAGTTAAAAAAATACTGTATCAAACTTAAGTCAAATCCTATTGTACCACTGTATCACATTCATGAGAATGTGCTAAACTTGTAAAGATAGTATAGCACTATGGGAAGATTATTAGTATATTCATGGGAAGCACTAAACTTGTAGGGTTATATTTTTTTATAACGCTCATGATGGGTGCACTAAACCTGTAGGAGTTATACATTATTATTATTAGTTATTATTTTACGTTATATTATTATTTTTTTTTTTTTTTTTTTATCACACTGGCCGATTCCCACCAAGGCAGGGTGGCCCGAAAAAGAAAAACTTTCACCATCATTCACTCCATCACTGTCTTGCCAGAAGGGTGCTTTACACTACAGTTTTTAAACTGCAACATTAACACCCCTCCTTCAGAGTGCAGGCACTGTACTTCCCATCTCCAGGACTCAAGTCCGGCCTGCCGGTTTCCCTGAACCCCTTCATAAATGTTACTTTGCTCACACTCCAACAGCACGTCAAGTATTAAAAACCATTTGTCTCCATTCACTCCTTTCAAACACGCTCACGCATACCTGCTGGAAGTCCAAGCCCCTCGCACACAAAACCTCCTTTACCCCCTCTCTCCACCCTTTCCTAGGCCGGACCCCAAACCGCCTTCCTTCCCTACAGACTGATACACTCTTGAAGTCATTCTGTTTCGCTCCATTCTCTCTACATGTCCAAACCCACCTCAACAACCCTTCCTCAGCCCTCTGGACAACAGTTTTGGTAATCCCGCACCTCCTCCTAACTTCCAAATACGAATTCTCTGCATTATATATTCACACCACACATTGCCCTCAGACATGACATCTCCACTGCCTCCAGCCTTCTCGTCGCTGCAACATTCATCACCCATGCTTCACACCCATAAAAGGGAGCGTTGGTAAAACTATACTCTCATACATTCCCCTCTTTGCCTCCAAGGACAAAGTTCTTTGTCTCCACAGACTCCTAAGTACACCACTCACTCTTTTTCCCTCATTTAATTCTATGATTCACCTCATCTTTCATAGACCATCTGCTGACACGTCCACTCCCAAATATCTGAATACATTCACCTCCTCCATACACTCTCCCCCCAATCTGAAAATTCAATCTTTCATCACCTAACTTTTTGTTATCCTCATAACCTTACTCTTTCCTGTATTCACCTTTAATTTTCTTTTTTTGCACACCCCACCAAATTCATCCACCAATCTCTGCAACTTTTCTTCCAGAATCTCCCCAAAAGCACAGTGTCATCAGCAAAGAGCAGCTGTGACAACTCCCACTTTGTGTGTGATTCTTTATCTTTTAACTCCACGCCTCTTTTCAAGACCCCGCATTTACTTCTCTTACAACCCCATCTATAAATATATTAAACAACCACAGTGACATTTACACATCCTTGTCTAAGGCCTACTTTTACTGGGAAATAATTTCCCTCTTTCCTACATACTCTAACTTGAGCCTCACTATCCTCGTAAAAACTCTTCAAAGCTTTCAGTAACCTACCTCCTACACCATACACTTTTCAACATCTGCCACATTGCCCCCCCATCCACCCTGTTATAAAGCCTTTTCCAATCCATAAATGCCCCAAAGACCCCTTTAGCCTTATCTAAATACTGTTCATTATAGTTTCACTGTAACACCTGGTCCACCACCCCCTACCTTTCCTAAAAACCCCTTGTTCATCTGCTATCCTATTTTCAGTCTTACTCTTAATTCTTTTAATAATAACTCTAAACCATACACTTTACCAGGTATAACTCAGCGACTTATCCCCCTATAATTTTTGCACTCTTCTTTATCCCCTTTGCCTTATACAAAGGAAAATATGCATGCTCTCTGCCAATTTTCCCAGGTACCCTTTCCCTCTTCCATACATTTATTAAATAATTGCATCAACCACTCCAAAACTATATCCCCCCTGCTTTTAACATTTCTATCTTTATCCCAAACAATCCCGGCTGCCTTACCCCCTTTCATTTTACCTACTGCCTCACGAACTTCCCCCACGCTCACAACTGGCTCTTCCTCACTCCTACAAGATGTTATTCCTCCTTGTCCTATACACGAAATCACAGCTTCCCTATCTTAAACAACATTTAAACAATTCCTCAAAATATTCCCTCCATCTTCCCAATACCTCTAACTTCCACTTAATAACTCTCCTCTCCTATTTTAACTGACAAAATCCATTTGTTCTCTGGGCTTTCTTAACTTGTTAATCTCACTCCAAAACTTTTCTTATTTTCAACAAAATTTGTTGATAACATCTCACCCACTCTCTCATTTCCCTCTTTTTTACATTGCTTCACCACTCTTTTAACCTCTCTCTTTTTCCCCATATACTTTTCCCCTCTTTGCATCACTTCTACTTTGTAAAACTTCTCATATGCTAACTTTTTCTCCCCTTACTACTCTCTTTACATCATCATTCCACCAATCGCTCCTCTTCCCTCCCGCACCACTTTCCTGTAACCAAAAAACTTCTGCGAACACTCTAACACTACATTTTTAAACCTACCCCATACCTCTTCGACCCCATTGCCTATGCTCTCATTAGCCATCTGTCCTCCAATAGCTGTTTAATCTTACCCTAACTGCCTCCTCTTTTAGTTTATAACCTTCACCTCTCTCTTCCCTGATGCTTCTATTCTCCTTGTATCCCATCTACCTTTTACTTCAGTGTAGCACAACTAGAAAGTGATCTGATATATTCTGTGGCCCCTCTATAAAAAAGTACATCTGAAGTCTACTCTACAGTCTTTTATTACCAATACATAATCCCAAAAAACTACTGTCCCTTTCGCCCTACATCAAATCTTG